ATGCTTCTATTCAAAAATAGTTTGAGTCTAAGACTATGTTGGCTAGAATACTCCTCAATACGCTTTAGCTTATTTTGGTAACGCTTATGTTGCTGGTGTTTATCATTTCTATTATAGAAAGCTTTTATTTTTCGCATTCTAAAAATTTTTATTATTTTTATTTTGTACACCTGCCATGAATTCTAGATAGAAATCCATGTGATTAGTAATAAATACAATGTTTGTCCCTTAGTAATAATAAAAAATATATGATTATGAAAAACGAGCATTTCAAGGTTTGATATTTTTGGGTTACTTGATTGATATTTTTGTGTTACTTTATATTACTCGCTATTCGTTATCTTCGTCTTTTTTTTATGTGAGTAAGTGGTAAACGAGCTGGCGGTTCACCTGATGTTAAGTGATAACTGCCGCCCATGCACATTTGCAACACCCGTAGGGTTGCAAATGCGTTGCCACCTTTAAATAAAGTGGGCCCCGGCTACCTCACTCACCAGACGAAACGCAGAAGTTTAACATTTCTATTTTGCGCCGTGTGGTCGTGGTACTTAAACGGACGGACCTGCCCATTCGTGCAACAGTGTTGCGTGGCCCTACCACCCTACGGTTAAGTATACCTTAACTAACCTAGTTCTTAACTTTTTAACTTTTGGAATGTGTGTGAAGTTCGTTCATTATGTGTATTAAAATCTACCTTCGAATTTCACAACAATTGTTTTGACACAAACTGTGGTAGGGCCACGCAACAGTTCGCTGTTGCACGAATAGACAGGTCCATTCAAGGAAGTACCACGACCTCACAGAAGATCGTCGTGAAGTAGAACTGTTTCCATCAGCTGAACCGCCAGTTTGCTTGCCATGGTCTTACATAAAAAAAAAACATAATCAGGATAAATTAAAAAGGGCCGGTATAAAAGTTTTCTCAGGGTAATTTTAAGAAAGATTATATTATTATACATGTATTAATATACTCAGCAATTCGAATTATTATACCATCGTATAGAGCCGTGATAGCTCATTGTCCAGGAGCTCGCTTTTAATTCAATATACTCGAGCAACCTGAGTTCGATCCCCGGTGCGGGAACTAATGAAATTATTAATTTTAATTATTTATAATTAATATTTTTTTAAGTATTTCTAAGGTATGTGAAGTCTACCAATACGCAGTGAGACCGCGTGATGGACTATGCCTAACATCCTCTGTACAGAGGAGGCCTTTGCCCAGAAGTGGGACATATAATATAGGGTATTACTTAACTTTATACCACCGTATACTACCTGTTTACAAGTTAAAACATTACTTTTTGCGGTAGGTTATATTCTTCTTATAACAAATAACTTCATTTTGAATCAGGAATAATATTTATTTTGAATAAAGAAGGACTTCTATATTTGGACGATTTTTTTTGACGGTGGTAGGGGTATACAAAGACTTGGACTATCATACAAGCATATGCACCAACCGAGCAAGCTGCCGAATCAGAGACAGAGACATTCTATGCCGAATTGGCTAAAGTCATCAGAAATTATACCAACAACCATGTTCTACTGATGGGTGATTTTAATGCTCAAATCGGAGAAAAACGAAACGAGGAGGAGTATGTACTAGGCAAACATGGACATGGCAAAAGAAGTTCCAACGGTCAAAAGCTTGTGGAAATTTTGCTAGAACACAATTTAATTCTTCTGAACAGTATATTCAAAAAAAACCCAAAGAATAAATGGACCTGGATTTCACCAGACGGCAGATGTAAAAATGAAATAGATTATTCAATAACCAATTTTCCCAAAGCATTTTCAAATACAAGCGTGATCTCAAAACTCAATTTTAACACAGATCATCGTATGGTTAGAAGTACAATTCTGCCAGCACTACCAAAAAGAGCAAGGAAGAACATTACCACATATAGTCCAACTCAAATCTCCATGGAGAGTTTCAAAGAAATTGGCCAGTCGCTAACAGATAATCTACAAGAGCTGACGTACAAAAATTAATGCGATATCAAAGCAAATTATGGGAAATTGGAAAAACAACTTATTATCACTAACAATACCAACAAAAGCAAAAGCAAATACCCACTCAGCGATGAGACTATCCAACTCATAAACCGCAGAAAATCTTTACTGGCTCAGGGAAAAAACAAAGAAAATATAAAAGTAATTACAGAAATCAGCAAACAAATTAATAAATATATTAGAAGAGACCGCAAAAAGAAAAGACTAAAAGTGTTAGAGAGTCAAATAATGAGAACAGGTGGTGTAAGAAAAGCTTTGAAAGAACTTAAGGAAACAGGAAAAGAGTGGGTGCCTAAACTAAGGAAAAAAGAAGATACAATCAAAACAGGAAATGTATACACAAACTGGCCACGGAATTCTACAAAGAACTATACTCAAACAAAGACGCACATAGGCACCCTATTACACAACCATTGAACAGTAAAACTGCAGACAGCCTGTCAGAGTGGGAACCAGATATTTTGAAAAGTGAAGTGGAAAAGGCAATAAAAAGTCAAAAAATGGAGAAGGCACCTGGCCCGGACAAAATTACAAACGAGATGTTGAGAGGGACTATTGAAGAATTAGTACCAATACTTACTAAGATGTTCAACCAAATTTTGAAAAGTGGATATATACCAGCACAATGGGAGACTTCATATATAATCCTTTTACACAAGAAAGGCGCAAGGGACGATACCGGCCAATAAGCCTAATGTCGAATGTGTACAAAATATTCGCAAGGATCATTTTGGGCAGGATAAGCGCAAAATTAGATGAAAACCAACCAATGGAACAAGCCGGTTTTAGACGGAACTTTTCAACGATTGACCACATCCACACACTCAAACAGATAATTGAGAAGTATAACGAATACAACAAAGCACTATATTTAGTTTTTATAGATTATGCAAAAGCGATCGACTGCATTTAGTCATAAGGCAATATGGGAGAGCTTAGAAAAGCAAGGTAGACCTGCAATATATATTAACATTATCAAAATTATATATAAAAACAGTAAAGCAAAAATTCAATTAGAAGCTTTGGGCAAAGAATTCCGAATCAAGCGAGGAGTTAGACAAGGAGATCCAATGTCCCCAAAGTTGTTTTCAGCAGTTTTAGAAAACGTCTTTCGCAACCTTGACTGGGAACATCTAGGCCTCAACATAGACGGAAGGAAACTAAACCACTTAAGATTTGCAGACGATCTGGTTATACTAGAAGAAAGTCCAAATGCACTCGAGAAGATGATTCAAACTCTAAGTGCTGAGAGCTCTAAAGTGGGTTTAGAAATTAACATAACAAAAACGAAACTGATGACTAACTCAAAAATGGAACCAATTGAAATTCAAGGACAACAAATAGAATATGTCGATGAGTATTGCTACTTGGGCCAGATCATCGCACTTAAAGACCAAACAACCAAAGAAATGAATAAGAGGATTGCTAATGGGTGGAAAAGATACTGGTCTCTCAAGGAAATTGTAAAATCTAAAGATCACAATATGGGAACGAAAACCTACCGTGCATCACTTATGGCTGCGAAACATGGTCCCTTACAAAATACCATAGAGAGAAACTAGCAAAGTGCCAGAGAGGTATGGAACGAAGCATGACAGGAACAAGAAGGCTAGATAAAATTAGCAATGTGAAATTAAGAGCAAAGACCAAATTAACAGATATCCTAGAAAAAATAGACCTCCAAAAATGCAGATGGACCGGTCAATATATTGAGATCTACACAAGAAAAGTGGAGCCAAATTACAACAAATTGGTATCCAAGAGATGGTAACAGACATCGAGGACGACAACTAATGCGCTGGGAAGAAGAGCTGAAACTTACTGCGGGACCCAAATGGAGGAGAGTTGCTCAAGACAGGAAGCAATGGAAACTACTGGAGGAGGCCTTTGCCAAAAGGCACACTGAGTTGAGAGACATCCTATAGCCCAACGAACTACAACAAGACAGCCGCACATATTGAATCTCTCACCCAGTTCAACGGGTTAAATAAATTAAATAAATAAAGGGCCACGCAGCAGCCTCGGCTGTTGCACGAATGGGCAGGCTCGTCCGGATAAGTACCACGACCTCACAGAAGACCGGCGTAAAGTGGAAGTTTAATACTTTCGCGTTTCGTCTGGTGAGTATGGTAGCCGGAGCCCAATTTTCAAAAGGTTGTCAACACATCTGCAAACCTCGGGTGTAGCGGATGTCCATGGGCGGCGGTATTCACTTAACATCAGGTGAACCGTCTACTCGCTTGACAACTTTTCACATAAAAAAAAAATTAGTATTAAAGAGGAGGCGGTAAATGATTGCCATGGGCCTCTGCTTTTTTGTTATTGTAATTTGTTGTTAGCGCGTCAACTTTCACATCTTCGTCACAGACGAGCCACGGCCTTAGGAGAAGAACTCTCACTGACACACACAAAAACACAATGAACACTTTAATGGGCAGTACGAGGCTGCCACTAGAGAAGCTTTCTTGCCCAACATTTCTTTGCATTCAAGACAGTTTTATTGGTTAACGCACAAGATGAAATACAAGTCTAATTATTTTCAAATTATGACGGTCACCTCTGAATCGTGGTATGTAAAAAGACGGACGATTTGCAAGTTTTTTTGATTGGATCTTACATTCAAGCAATTATTCATTTTTAATATTATTAAATCAAGCAGAATTACTGGTCAATGGATAATACATTGTACATTTGTACAATGTGTGATAGAAAATATTAACGTTTCCAAAAAAAAATACATATGTTACCTTAAAAATCCGATAAAATTTAGTCTGTGTGATAAAATGTCAAAATTGATTGACATTACAAATAACCTATAAAATTTGCTATTAGCAACCTGGGAATTAAAAATGTTTCGAAATTTAGTAAACAAATTGTATTTTAACAACTCGGCATGTGGATTTCATACTACAGCACAATTAAATGAAGTCCAACTTCTTACCAGATTAAGAGTCGTCGATAATTCAGAGATTGGAAAGAGAGCAATGGCAGAAGGAAAGCCACCAAAAGTTATTTGTGTTTACAACAAAAAACGTAAGTTGTATTTTTTTTTTAAAAAAAAAAGCTTTCTTAATTAAACTTTTCATAACCACCCGGTTTCAGTAAAATCTTTTCCAATAATTTCGAAAAAAAAGTCACTTAAAAACGCTCAGTATTTATAAACTTAATCTAAACTGATACTGCAGTGCTCAAACAAACTAAAACTTCAACAAAAAAAAGAAATTCAGTTATATAGGTTTTTGTTTAACAATATGTAGTGTATGCACAAATACAAGAAGTCATTCTTCCCCTTCTTTCTCCTGCACTTATCATACTAAGGTGGCATGGGCACATTTTAACCACATTATCAAAGGTGTTAGCTACGTTTTTTTTATAACTGGCCCCCTGCCTGAAATTAAGCCTCTTTGGAAATAAACCCCTAGATATGGAGACACAAATGTTTGTTCTGTGTAGAGGTTGAACCGACAATCCCTAGAGTTGAAGAAAATAAATTGAAAACTGCATCAAAAATCTATACCTATCAAAATACTAGAAGTAATTATAAAAACAAAATTGCTTGGTCTATGCTAAAATTTGGAATGTAGGGCAGTACAAATTAGCAGTGTAAGTGGTTAAGGGAAGCAATGTTTTTTTATTCTAATCAATAAAATTACTTGTATTCTTCTAGTCAAATTACTTAATTAATAATATCACTGATGATAACTTTTTTCTCTTCTTTTTTAACATTGAAGATGAAATGCTAAATTATTTTTAATCACAGGACTTGGCTTCCTTGGTGACAGAGTAATGGTAGCAATAAAAGGACAAAAGAAGAAAGGTATTCTTGTGGGTCTGAAGCAAACACAAAATGTTAAGGTGCCAAAATTTGACAGCAACAATGTTGTATTAATAGACGATAATGGCACACCCCTGGGCACTCGCATCCATGTACCTATACCGACAATACTACGGACCATTCTCAAAGAGAGGACTCATTCTAAAGGAGCTGACTACACCAAGCTGCTGTCGATAGCAACCAAATTTGTTTAGTGAAGTATTTTGTTTAATGATTACTAGTGTAAATAAATTTGTCTTTAGTTGTTTTTTTTTTTTTTGTACTGATCACTGCTTGCTAAACAAAACGCAATCTCAAGTCTGTTAACCTGCATAGATATGCTGTGAGTGCATGGCCCAGTCACAGAAAACTCATTAGATTTAATAGTTTATTGACAATACCAAAGCCTATTTTTCAATTTTTTCAACAAAACAAGGCAAATTAACCAATATGTGCACAGATTTGCCATTACTTCAACTTTCCTTATGATAAATTTTAATGAGCTAAGGAAAATATATTGAACACCTTGAAACATAATGTACATAGGTACCATTATTATTGAACCTCCTATTTACCCCAGACTATAATAGACTAAGCTGTTTCAATCTCTTATTGTAGATTCCCCAAATTTGAAGTAAATAGGCTTACAGATAAATATCTATAACTAATTTTGATTGAACCTAGTCAAGTAATTGAAATTTTAATTAATTTTAAATTAAATAATCAGTAATATTTAACATTAACTTGTTTCCTGTTTGGTACAAAAATAAAATAGGTATATCTTTATTGTTATAAACCTCCAACGTCAATGCGTTTAAGGTTCCTCTATTGCAGTTGAACATGCAAAACAGTTCACATAATACATGTTTGTGTCTCAAATTTTGATATCTGACTCACGTTATTTGACGCCATTGGTGAGTCATTTAGTACAAGTTCTGCAAAATCTATTGTAAGTATCAAGTGGGGAGTGGGAGAATTGAAACAACGGTGAAATTTGAAAATTTAATAAAACTTATGTTCAGTTCCATTTCAGAACAGAATTAGGACAAGCTACCTACCGATGGAGATGAGCAGACGGCACGACAACGAACTAAAGACGTACATGTTCCAACGTATCTGTTACGCTTGCGATGGCGCGGGGTGGAGCGTCGCGCTGACAAAAGATAAAATTCGTCCACGAACTTTGACAAATTGTGCTATTCGTAACAGTTGTAACAGATAATAGTAACCAATTGAATTTCGGTGATAGTTATATCACAGTTACGTTTCAACTACAGTAATCGAGTATGAGTGTGATTTGTTTTTCAATCACAAAAACAAACCAAACTCAGTATTACTATTAATCGACCGGAAAATACAAGGTATAAGACAACATTTAAATACCAAAAAATTGGTCCGTAACGAATCTTTCCTTATGCCACCGCGATGCACATAGAACATCTAACGAAACGTTCAAAACACGCATCATCCAACAATAGAGCTAACAATTCATAAGTACTAGAGTTGAGGTAAAGGAAGGCACGTAAGCTTATAGCTTGTACGCAAAGGAGAACGCGCTCAATTACGAGACGCGGCCCATCCTTTTTAAGGCTCAAGATTATAGCTACGTTTATATTTTTTAAAAGTACAAGAATCGCGCACGATGGTCTAGCGTCCGATCGCTGCTCGCATTTGGCCGATTAGAACACGCATTTCGAACTATTTTTTAAGACAGATTCTCGCGGTGATGTTGGTGGTGGCGGTGAAAGTTTTTCTTAACATTATCATACGAACGATGGAATAATATTTGCATGCTCATACGCTACATAGTGTACCCGGCTTGAATACAATGAATATTGAGAAAATTGTCCCCAACATTTGCTCAAAGGTTTGGAGTTGGCCGACCATTTTTGGCACCGCCCAAACTAAATGTTAACATCTAAATAAGAACGTTAATACATTTCCTAACAAACAATCGAACCGATTTGTGGAACCGCAGTGCTCTACTACTCAAACCGGAGTAGAGACTAAGGACTTGCGTACTAGAGAATGGCTAGAAGAAACACGACATACATGCCTAAATTATTCTCTTTTCTTCAACTACCCACACTTATGAAATATTATTTTTTTATATTGCATCGCGTAACGTACCGCCGCGTGTACACATAATTAATTGTAATGCACAGTGTGACTAGATATAAGATTCAAGTGCGTTGAGCGCTATGTTACTACAGTGTGCTGTCTGTGGCGTCGTCCGACATAATCCAACATTTCCGCGGCCGAACCGTGTCTCGGCGTATTGCCATAGACAAATTTTATCTATGCCCAGTACTTACCGGACAAAGACAAAAGTAACAACGGGTACAGAACGCCGCGTAGCGTTTCACTGCATCTGCGGTGGACTGTACCAACGGTTCTATAAATCTATTTTATATTTCATTTCATTTTCTGTGCGTTTAAATTTTATTGCAGTTTCCCTGTTTCAATTGAACGTTGCGATATTGGCAATTTACGCCGTCCACGGTTCAAGCCCTAAAAATTCAATTATCTAATTTATTAACAACACACGTGGAACTACTTTAATAGATTTTAAAATCGATATATAATTTATTAACTCATCGGTAGATATTATCTAATATTAACACACTCGCACTATGATATATCTGAAGTTATATAGCAGTGCTAAGGCCACTCTTGACAAATTGCGCCACGAATTACTACTAAAATTATTCGACATGAGATTTTCTATTTCTTTCACTAAGCGACTGATCAAGCGGCCAATCAATGTCAAGTTTGACCCTAGCTCACATAAACCACTAAAGACGAACCCCATTTTCCACAATTACACGTTCAAACGAAAAACGGATACGTATTTCGCTATTCGCAAAATGTTTAGTCTTTTCCAGCGTCAGTCGAGTGGCGAACGAACTCAACATGACGGTTGAAATGGAACGCAACTAGCATATTCAAAACTACGTACACAAAACATGAGAAAAGAAGTACAGGCGCGTCTACCCGCGCGCGGAAGTGACGTCACGAGTGATTCCGGGCGAGGGCAGACGAGTCTATTATATAAAATAGTTTGTACAAGGATAGATACAGAAACGTAAGTGTTGTCAGACGAAACCCACAGCAAACAAAACTTGAATGACACGTAACGGATGCAAAACAAATACTACATTTAGCCATCTGCTTTGAATGATCGGTTACATTACTTTTTTCGACTGGCAACACCCACGCGCGTATATAAAACTGAACTAGAAACATGGTAGCTCTGGAGGTAGTTGGAGACGGTCGCCTCAATGGAGCGATCTGTTCACCTGTGGATGAAGGATTCAGTGAGGGATATTGGAAGGGTGTGGGTAGGTATTAAGGGGCGGTTGGGTGAAAAGCCATACGAGATCTTTAAACGTGTTCGGTTGTATATTTTGTGGAAAGGTTTGAATAGTAAATCCATAAGACCACTGCGTAGTCTTTCATTCGAAGACATTGGCCTTGCTGTAAGATCACATCATTCTGTGTTGTAAGGACGTTTTACTTACATAAATTTTACGTGGACGAACACCCAGATCCGAAACAATTATCTGTGGTCACACAAATATTTGTCTCGTGTGGGAATCGAACCTATGGCCCACCGCGCCGAAGCCAACACCTTGGCAACATAGCCGCGGAGTCATCAACGTGTTCGGTTACAAGCAAGACATTGCAAGCTATATATTCACAAAGCTGATCGGATATATAACTGTTCGGATATATTTTTAACATTTACTATCTAATACGTCGAGACTGTATAATAATTTTTGAAGATAAACATTAAAATCTATCATTATTCAATGTTACATAACTAGAAACACCGGCTGCTGTGATAGTGATATTAATCGCTGACCACGTATACGGGCCAGCATTAGTTTATAAGGATGATGGAAACACTCGTCTCCTAAACATACTCGCAGGCTACCGACACGCTCGCACACACTATAGTATAAAATTCGGATAAGGCGTAGTATTAAATTTAGTGTAATATATTTATTAGATACTACGGAAGTTCGAATCTTGCGAACAGGGCCGATTTCGGAATGAAAACACTTTAAAAGACATAAAACTTTTATCATAACGGTATTTAATATGATAACGTTAACTTCAAAATAAGTATATTTAAAAAATTAACTTTTTTTATATATTTGTTATTACTTTTTAATTAGTGGATAATTAGACAAACTCGGCCCTCAACGCAAGAGATATCCGGCACGGAGAAGATAAATGGATGCGTAAAATTCAACCAATTTTGCGACGAATATCCAAACATAAAAAATCTCGAGAATTCACGTAAGCAGAAGTATTATTTATCAATATAAAGCTCATGATAAAAAAGGTAAACGTATTTTGAAATTCTTTATATTCTTAATTAAATTTAAAAAAAAACTTTAATTAGCATCAACGTCATGTATTGAGAAATACGTTCGGATATTCGTCGCGTAATGATACAAAAAGAAAAGACAGACTATATAAAAACTCGATACAAACAACAAAACAATGACCTGTGAGCTTACAGTTTCGATGGAGATGGACTTGAACTCCGACACCTAATCAAATAAAATACTAAATAACAATACCAATTAAAAATATCGCAACAAAATAATAAAAATACTAAATTTGATTTGTCTACGAATAAAGTATCTATATTGTATAACTATTATGTAAAGTAAATATATGCATGTCTTAAGATTTAATTAGATATAGTGAATTAAGAAAGTCGCTCAACGGTTGCTCGGGGACGCCCGCGCTTTGTACTTCACAATCACAAATTTTGTCTTAAGAAGAATATTTCGCGCCTGTTTTAAGTACACATTGATTTATTTTGCTTTTACACAACCTACCTTAAATGCCATCTACTCAATGATTCTCAACCGTAGCGAATCGTATTTATTTTTTTGGATTTTCCCGCGCAAAAGAACTACGTATAACCTAAAATATGTCATTTTTAACAATCCCTTATATATCGCACACAAGTTATAATTTATATAATATAATTAAACACGCACTATTTGCACAAAACACGAGGTATTATGTATGGCACAAAACAAAAGGTCTACGGCGCCGGCCGCGCTAAACAGAGAGACGTTTAACGACTTAATTAGTTTCGTGCTGTTTGCAATTATGACCCGGGCAGAGACAATAGAGTTGTTATGAAGACGCGCGATAATGGCGGACTGCGGGCAATTGCGTCACGCGTTATGTGCTTAATAACTCAAACAGATAAAAGAAACGTTCGACGCGTTTACGCCGCTGACGTAATATTTGCGTGGAGCGATAGAAACGGCCGTTATTTCGAGGAGCCTCCTTTGGCAGAGTTAAACGACACCCAAACAATATAGAGGCAGCACACTCTCGAGAAATGATACATACTACTAATAGAACAATTTCTAACTTTGGAACACAAGTTGCGAGTTGAGTTGGCGGACGATTGTTTTATGGACATGTTAATCGCTTACTAATCTGTGGCATAGTGAATCATTGGAAACCGAATGAATTTGAGCTTTACGGTAGACCAGGCCATGGAGATATGTGCTGGGACCTGATCTAGGGGACGAAAGATCTAGAGCGATTGGCAAAGTAGCCAATTGGTTCAGCCTCCGCACCGAGGCCGTGACCGATTGACGGGACAAAATAACTACAACTTGTGTTGCCATGGATCAGATAAGCCCGGCGCTGTTGCCGCAACGTCCCCGAACACCGCGCGCCATTCGATGCCTATCTAGGCGGCCTAAACGTCGACCACCATCTTCTTGTGGATGTCCGTGTTGCCCACCACGTTGCAGAACTCCTCGAAGGAGATCCTGCCGTCCTCGTCCTTGTCCGCGAACAGGATCGTCTTGTCCACGATCTGCTGGAGCTGGGTGTCCTTCAGGTTGTTGCCAACCATCATCTTCAGCACCTGCACGAGTGCGGCAAGTGGGAGCGTTTAGAATCGTGCGCGCGTTCAAGGTGGCCGGAGTTCAATTTTCAAAAGGTTGTCAACGCATCTGGAACCTTCGGGTGTAGCAGATGTCCATGGGCGGCGGAATTCAGTTAACATCAGGTGAACCGTCTGCTCGCTTGGCAACTTTTCACATAAAAAAATAAACAGGCCTCGCTGTTGCACGACCGGGCAGGTGGAAGTGTTACACTTCTGGGTTTCGGTAAGCCAGGACCGGCTTTATCAAAAGGTAGCAAAAAAGATGTCAATGGACGGCGGTCGTCACTTAACATTAGGTGAATCAACTCACTAACAAAAAAATACTGAGTTTTCAGAACGTTGATATTAGAAGAAACTCTATAATAATATCGGATCAACAAGTTACGGCTGGTGATGAATGGGATCGTTCTTTACTCGCGCAAAGGTTAACAATAACTAATCAGTGCGGAACTAGAGCTAGCTTTCTAGGCATCATGCCACTTGAGGAAGGTAATACGAGATAACGTGTTATGTAATAGTATTTAATATTGTGAATTATTTGTATATTTCGAAAAAAATGGACAAGACAATCTGATTAAAAATCTATTATGGTATGCCGACAGAATGTAAGCAAGGAACGACGTGCTAATAAAATTCGAATATGGTGACTGACTTACGGTGTACGAATTTGCAAATATCAGAAATTTGTAATATTCGGCTAAAAACTACAACTGTGCAAAACACAAAATTAAACATAATGTGCATGTTATTTAAAGTTGAACAATTCAATAATGTCCTTATGAATTGTTAAAAAAATGTACAGATCCATTGAATCATTTGTTATTCGTAAAGAGTCCGAAAATTTTTTCTATGAATCGTTCCAGGGACATCCAGACTAACAGGCGTTACGTGTTTAGGGAACTAGAGCTGAAAGTGTTCGACAGACCTGGAAGAGCTCTCCGTTGGAGATGTACCCGTCGTTGTCCATATCGTAGATGCGGAAGGCGAAGCGCAGCTTGGACAGCTTGTCACCCTTCACGCTGAACTGCGAGACACCCTGGATGAATTCCTTGAAGTCCACCTGAAACACCGCGCAGAAAACTGATTAAACGAAAATGAAGTCTTCGCTTCCGGCACAATGTAACATACAGAAGCACTTTACACAAAAGCCATGCTAATTCATGCGGAGCATTTCCTCCGGTCAAGACGATTGTCAGGGGTGGAGATAACGTGTCAGCCGCTAAATATTGGGTTCGCGGGGGGCCTATGTAATTTCAAAATTTGATATGATTGGATGTCAAAAAGCCATAGCCGGGGTCGCGGTAAACAGAGATAGGTGCAACGTGGATTTTATGGTGGGTACGCGTTTCTGACTGCGACTCCCACACATCCCTGCCACAACAACAAACATGAAATGTGAATGAGGAGCACTGGGGCACAGGTAATCTTGCGTCTCCGAAACCAGTGTTACGCACGGATCTTTTATTGCTTTGTCATCTCCGCAGCGTATTGGGTAACATATTGAGTAATCACGCAGCAACGTAGATAACTCTCGGCACGAGTGACTCACAGAGGTATCCCCCCACAGCAAAATAGTGCAGTAGTGCTGCCAGTCTCACCTCCCCGTTGCCGTCCGCGTCGAATATGTCGATCACGCGCTGCACTAGCGGGTTCTGCTGCAGTTCCGGCAGCGACATGAACTCGTCGATGGACAGCGCGCCCGAGTTGTCCAGGTCCAGCTTGCGGAAGCGCTTGCCCAGCCGCCGGATCTCGTCCGCGTCGACTGCGCACACACACGTTACCAAGGGCACCGCGAGCGCAAACCCAACGCCTCCGCTGTCCCCCATTCGCCCCACAAATTGGCAAACGCCGGTTGACAAGCTACACAACCGAAGGCCCTAAAGAGACCTTGTGATCTGCTATGGACATAAGGGTGAGCTTTGAATGACGCTTGCCCATTGTTGCCAGTAGCTTCGACCAGGTATTTCGGACCGCTTAGGGGAAACTTCGAGGGGCGGAGAGCGTTGAATGAGCGTGCGAATCCTTCAATTAGGACAACTGAACTCTTCTAAAGAGCGTCTCAGTCGTTATAGTTAAAGGTATATTAATGCACATGTAGTTATTATTTGAAAACATCTAATGCCTTTCTTTACAAGGAAACATTCGGAATGTTTAACAACGGCCGTGGGTCGCCGTCAGTGAGTATTTGGAAACAATGCACAGTTTTATAATGTACACTGTCGCTTCGAAACATATGACGATGAGTTGGGATTTTTAAAATTTTTAGATTATATGATTATATGCCGCGTGACGACACGTGGAATTAATACGAGATGCGAAATTGTAAGCAAAAATAAAGAAATTTAAATTATATAATATGATTTTGTTTACAGTAAAAAAATTGTTCACATCTAATGAAGTAACATTAATCGAGTGATACATAAAGCTGCATTCAAATGTTCAATATGGTTTCAATTTTCTAAGGTGCGGTCATACTGGTGGGAATTATCGACCGAAAAGAATCCCATTCACAACACAGATAAACCAGGTCTCTAGTAACGTCTATAAAGCATTGAATACACTGAGACATGCAGTTCATAGAGCTAACCGATCGGAAATTGTTAAAACAACAATTTTTTTATTTTCATTCACCAAATTTTATTCAGTTTAGAAGTCAATTTATACTGAAAAACGATATGTATAATAATAATAAATTTATATATGATTAATCCTGTTTCATAAGTAGTTTCTTTTTTGCCTGTTACTTTTTTTTAGGCTAACTCCCAATTTTTACTTTACTTGTAAAATGCTTGAATATTTGTATGTTTGTGTATTCATGCTTGAAGTTTGCATGAATATATTTATAAATTGTTTAAATGCCAATCGTATATGTAAAATAAATAAAATATATTGAAAATACCTAGACAGTCGCTTTTAGAACACAACCAACGTGTTGTGATGTCCTGTATATTAAATCAATCGAATAGAAAATCCGACGTAGCGTTTGCCCGACTTAATAGCTCGTACAACGTATTAAATTGAGCGCGGTGTAACTTTATTGCAGCAATTAATCGATTCGTTTGTTTCGTTCATTTCACGCTATCGGATTCGCGGGCAGAGGATTCGAGCGTGTAAAGGACTTTTAAACAGACAACAATAACGAGGTTTTATTTCACATATTAAGGGACCTCTCTGCTAATCTACTCTGTTGCCACTGGCAGGCAACTTTCGATAACAAAATTCCTTAGCAGTTATATGTTATAAATAGCCTACACAATTATAACGTTTAGGTAAACTCTGGGCTCATAAACGGGCAGTCATCCGTTATAGCGATTTATTATTGTATGTTTATCGCATAAAAATAATATGGTTTTATACTCAGCCTTTAGTAGGCTTCGCGCCGGGGGTTGTGGGTTTGTTTCCCGACGATAAAAAAAAAGACTATTTGGAACCACAAATAATTGTTTATCTGGGATTTCGTCCACTTGAAATTTATGTAAGTAAAACGTCCTTACAACACGACTAGAGTAACTGTGGTAGGCCCACGTCTTCGCTGTCGCACGAATATGTTTTGCGTTTCGTCTGGTGAGTGAGGTAGCCCGGGCCGACTTTACTAAAAGGTTTAAATCCATCTGCAACCCTAAGAGTGTTGCAATTGTCCATGGGCGGCGGTTATCACTTAACATTAGGTGAACCGCCAGCTGCCTTGCCACACACATAAAAAAACAGGATAATGCTATCCTATAGTAAGGAGATAATTTTTTCGAGGGGAAGACTTCAATAGATATCTCTAGGTCGCAGTGACCGTTGGGACTCCCACATACCCAACCTCTTCCAGACAAAATACACAGCCTTTAGTGGGTGTAGTGTTGCAAGAAAAGCCTTATTCAGGTCGTACCCATAGGGTAAAACGGGATCATATTACTAAGACTCCGCTGTCTGTCAGTCTGTCCGTCTGTCACCAGTCTATATCACATGAACCGTGATAGATAGACAGTTGAAATTTTCATGGATGTACTTCTGTTGCCCCATACAATAGACATGATTTTTTGCCATATTTATAGATAATGGTACGGAAACCTTCGTGCGGGAGTACGACTCGTACTTGGCCGGTTTTTTATTACATCCATCCAATTTACACTCAGAGGCTAAAATACCAATTATTACACTAGCGCAAGCATCCTACTCATAATGTTCATTTGAAAAACTTAAACGCCGTTTATTGTCTTATGCAAACAACGTTGGCTCCGATCGTCGGTCCAGATAAAGCGAACCAGTTGCGTAACGGAGTTTAATAGTTTTCAAAGAAAAAATAACGACACACGGCAAGAATTTAAATTGTGTAAGTTTTAAATTTTTTATAGTGCTAATACTCACTTGTAGAGTGGGTTCGATTCCGACAGCGGCGACAATCGACTTTCCTACTTTTTCTACAAATGTTAAAATTTTGCTGCTTTATTGATTTGCGTCATCGTTATTCACGTTCACGTGAACTTTGTGGGGAATTAAACTTTAAATAGATTTTTTACTTACTAATCCGATGACGCGGTTACGGAAGGAACGAATAATAGAGAGCAATAAACTCATAATAAATCGACAATATCCTAGAGATTTCAGTACATTAAAATTATTTTCGATCTGTTTTGATATTTTAATAGCATTCCTTCGGAATGTGCATGCGTTTTATGGCCAGACTGAACGCTACGCTTCCAATGCCATATAGCGACACCTATTTAAAGATCTCAACCCAAGCTGGATTGACCGGTGGCATGGAAAGAATGTCATTAGGCATTTGGTCCGCCCTTTGTTACCTTTCATCTTTGTAGGTTTGCAATCTCACTTTAAATAACTATCTTCCCATAGTAACTGGTACGCATAGAAACAGCCGAAAGGATTTGGATGCAATTGAAATAACGATACAATAAACGCAAGTATGTTGCATACCAATATCAACTTCCGTCGGCGGTATTTCCGAACCGTTACGACCTGGAAACCTTCAAGAAGAGAGCATACTCTTTCCTAAAAGGCCGGCAACGCATTTGTAAGCCCTCGTATGTTGCCGGTGTTCATGGGTAGCGGATTACCATTAGGTGATGCCTCTTGATGGTTTGCCCCTTTTCTCCGTAAAAAAAAATACAGATAATTTTATCCTGCGGTTGTCTATGGCTACTCGTTGTAAGTAAAAATTAACAGCCTATATAATTACGTCCTACTGCTGGGTAAAGGCGTCATTTGTACAGAGGTTATCAGGGTTATAGTCCACCACGCGAGCCCAATGTGGATTGGCAGACTATGCATATCTTTAATGTATATCTTTAGTAATTATCTATAAATATAATAAAAATCCAACTGATCGTTGTCTGTGCATGGAAGATATTTGAGAAAAAAAAACTATTATTACACTGCGTTGATCAATGCCCCCCATATATATCAACGCAGTAGAATCGAAAACGATGTTAAAACTTTTGTCTGTTCGTCTGTTTACATGTTTGTCTGTGCATTTGTGCGCGCTAATCTCAAAAGCGTCGAAACGGGTGCCGACACCGGGATTTAAACTCGAGTTGTCCGAATAATATCATATAACACTACATAATATAAAAACACAGTTGTACCGCTGTCTGTCTGTCCCTATGTATGCTTAGATCTTTAAAACTATGCAACGGATATTGATGCGGTTTTTTTTTACTAGATAGCGTGACTAAACTAGTTTCTTTTAATATGTGTAATATTCGCATAAAATCAAGAAGTCAATAGATAGAGTGATTAAAGAGGAAGGTTTATAATACATTGCACCTGTGCGAAGCCGGGGCGGATCGCTAGTGTTGAAACAAAAGCGAGCGTCCTGACACTGAGGCATCAAGGCTTTGATACATTAAATAAGCTAATAAGGTAAACTACGACCTCACGCGTACGCCAATCTAGGACGTCCTAACCACTAAAGGACTATACTAAACCTTTCCATGGCGTCTCATTCGCGCAATGCAATACGTCACTTAATATCGCGCGGCCATAAGCGTTCATTCAGCCGTTAAACGGCTTAAATATAACCCAATTTGCGAAGGGCGGCTGGGTAGGCAAAGCGGGCGAATTGGTTCGCCGCAACGATTTCCATTTTTTGCCACGAACTGGCCCGTACTAATAAGCTATTTCACGTTTAAAAATATTACGAAATTTCATTCTAAATATATTTTATTTTCATTCTAAAAATTTTTATTCGAGGTTGAGGTTTACACGGCAGCCCGATTCAAAACATCAACATCAATTGCCTCAAAATGTTTACTTTTGTTACGATGAAAATTAAATACCTACGTAAAAACATAATAATTTTTTTTCACCGTATTGAAAAATCAAGGCAGTCATCAGTTAGGTCATTAAGTTATCATTATCCTTCAAAATCAGTGATAATATTGTGGAAATAAAACACAAATTAAAAGAATTGAAAACTTTGTTATTTGTTGATGTCAGTGTTTACTCATTTTCGGTTTCGTAATTAAAGTCATTGAAACACATAAACAAAAACATAAAATTCCGACCAAATAAAATGTTTATAACCATCGATTTAATTTTTTCGAAAACGTGTTAACGTTTTCCCGGTAAAACAACATAAACATAAGATAATGTGTTTGCTACAATCGCTCCGGACCCATTTACTATCATAAAAATGCGTAAACACGCGTTTCATGGTATAGTAATAAATTAAAGATACGTGTCAGGTTAAAATTTATATTTCCGAGTATTTACAACTTCCATTCACCGTGAAGGGTGAATAAAGAATATATTTAATTCGTCAAATTAAACACATAAAACAAGAAAATTTAAAAAATAAGAACATCTTCAAAATAAATTCGAGCGGCTAACAGTGCATGACAACACCACAGATACAAAATACTACGAGCCGTAAAAAAAAAAAAAGCTAGCATAAATCAACCAGATCGCGTCCCCGTGCAAGCAGGTCGTGTGGCCAGTTACAATGACGGTAATTAACGTTCGCGGCACGCGTCATCGTCACCCACTTTTTCCCGCCACACGCGGTACATCGCTGTCTCTGCACGCGCTATCCTTGTATTGTACCTAGCTTACTAAGTATTATAACGCGACATAAGTATTATTCCCGCCTGTCGCGCGAATGTCGCGAGCTTCCGACTCAGCCCACGCGTTCGGAGCTCGGGCAAATGTCTATTATTATCTTACAAAGCACCGCTACTATATCGCTTCTACCTTTTAGTGCACAAAGCTCACCACTTCGCCTAGCACTGGACAGTTAGACGCCGCTATGGACATTCACAATTAGAAATGTCTCAAAGGAGGTCCATTTTCAAGGTGGTATAAAAAATAAACAAAAAAATACAACCTTGAGAGTATTGCTGTAAGTATCTCCACAATGAAACTAACATCTGTCTTGTTGAGACAGTGTTGGTAGCAGACATCACAAGATACAAGTAATGAAGCTGATTTACGGATTATATCACCTAACAGTAAAATTATATTTAATCCATACAGAAAGAATTTTTCAATCATGAGTACTAAGTAGAATTTTAAACAACAAGGATACAATAAAAAAGTAAATTTGTCTTATTTTTATATGGGTCTGTATTTGGGTGGATAATTGAAACAAATTAGCAAGGGTTCATTAAATGATCTGTCTCATCTACAATATATTTTTATAATTAGTAAAATAGGGATTACAGCTCTCCTATTGTACAGAAATTAGACTAAGTACTGTAACAAAAGTGAATTAAAACAATTGGAAGTAATAGAAAAGACAAGATCTGTCTGAAGTGAAGAATGAAACATATTTTGAAGTTATTTTTATGGACAAATATAAAATGAGAGAAACAACTGACCCACTATTAGTGTAGTCAGATGGATGTAAATTATGATTATAGTGTTACTACTAATATTTTTTGTCTTTAAAGTATATATATATATATATATATATATATATATACATATTTTATGTTTCATATAAATATAAAAGAGACAATGAAATTAGAAATTTAAATTGTTTATCGTGCTAATCTTTGCACTTAAGATTGAACATTAAAATATGTATAAAAAGTGCGAAAAGATTGTCGCCGTTGTGGGAATCGAACCCACGTCTTCAGGCCGCGAATGCCGAAGACGTGGGTTCGATTCCCACAACGGCGACAATGAAATTAATTTGAACAGGAAAATATTAAAGACAATGTGATATGAACATAAAAAAACTAGCCAAAGCAAAAAAAAACAGACAATTACAACAAAATATATGATTTTGCCACCATACAAAGTATTTTAATGGCATTGAATGTGTAGACAAAAGGAAGTATCTTTTATATTTGTGGGCGGACCTCCCTTGATACCATAACTTCCTATAACAAATATTCCCATCCAAATGTTCTAATCATAACAATACACTTCCACAAAATACTCTAACAACATCTCTAAGGCAAAAGTGACGCGGATGCACTAGCCACAGCCTATACGGCCCCATGTTTCTTTTACACCCAGAACAATTTTTGTTTGCAATTCATAACAGAGTGCACAAACAAAAAGAGAAATGAACACTACTAAAGGTCTTTGATAGTTTGATTAAACAGAAATGTATTTTCTCTATGTGTAAAAATTGATAAAACCAAAGGAATAAAACACCAATAATTATAGGAACATTCAAGAAAGGAGCAGGATAAAAATCTAAATATCAATATACATGCTAAGAATATGAAAGCACAGATCTGTAATGCCCTTTGTAAAGAAATATTAATAAATATAGCACAAATTATCTGCTTATGAAACAAAAATATTTCATTGACAGGGCAAAAATTGTTCTGGATGTAAGGTGTACGTGCGGTGTGTCAACATGGTGATGACAGCTGGAGGCGAGTGACACTACGGCACTCACAGTTCTCCACCTTAAAATCAAGGCAGTTAACACGGGCTGAAACAAACTTGCCGTTATCTTTTGTTTGCACACCCTACGCTGCACTCGGATGCTCCACTACACAAGACTCCTCACAAGTATAGTACCTATGCTATTGGGTGTTCAGAAACAAACTTTATAACTTTGAAATTTAAAATAACTGTTAGTGTACACAATCAGGAAGTGATTAGTTAGGTTCTTATTATTTCATAAAAGCAAATTATGTACTTTTAAATAAAGATATCAAAAAAATGCTGTTAATTGCAAGATAGTAGAGACAGGAGTAACAAGATAGTTATTATGAATTTAACACTTACAGTTTGAACATAGCTCCATAGGAATTGAATTTTCATTGCCCTGAAATATATGAATATTCGATTGAGATAAAACAACCAACACAGATTCATGATTTAATTAAACATTAAAAACAAACTTGGCCTCAACTTTTTTGAACATAAATTAAACTATTATCATTTAAACGTTATATTGATGGTTACATGGTTTCTAGTAATATCTAGATTTAAGTATTGATGTTTTACACAGTGGGTTGATTAACATAATATGCGAAAACCGAAGGAAAAGCGGTCGTATACACCCAACATTTTAAAAACTATCAAATCATCCCTAAAACCCTTAACTTTCCTAAAATAAGAGCTATATTTAAAGACTTACCATTTTGACTATTTAATAAGCACTTAGTAATATATAAAATTATCAAGGCAACTATCGGTAACAATGTAAAAGAATTTGATTTATTTAAACTAATTGGAATTTAGCCACTTCGACGGACACACCATCGATCTAAATAAAATATACAGATAACGCATTTGAGGTGTGCGAAACAGAGCGTAAAAACATTGCAATCTATAAGTCTTGTTGGCTTCTATAAAGGTATTTTAGTAACACTATTTTTTATATAATCCTTGTTAAATATTATTAAGTGTAAATAAATATGTAATCTCAAGACATTTAATTAGTATTAAACTATTAACTAAAAATTTTCTTTGTATCAATAGCATTTAACTTGTATAAAACAAATTTACAGTTAACATATTATTTTTTCTCTTCTTATTATAAATATTTGACTTTTTTAGAATGTATTGCTTATGAAGTTTCAGAAACAATAACTATTACTTGATAATCATAAAAGTATAATATGGATATTGAACGAATCCTTGTTGTTGTCATTGTCACATTTCACAGTTGTCATTGTCACAGATTTCCCCTCCCTTTCCCCGCGTAGAATCTTTCTCTTTTCCGATAAAACTCAACCATGGCGGCCGGGGTGGGTTGATTTTTGTCTTAAATTATCTCATTAATCAAAGCCTTTTGTTAATAGTGATGAATAGGGATCTTTGGTTATGCTAATTTCCAATGTTACGTTTATTTATTTTTTCTAGGTACTTTACACTTATCCGCAAAACTTCCGTGCTTATAAGGCGTTGATCGCCGCACAGTTCTCCGGGGTCGATCTTAAAGTTGCGCCTGGCTTTACGTTTGGTGAGACCAACAAATCCGAAGAGTTCTTAAAAAAATTCCCGGCTGGCAAGGTGAGTGTCTATTAATGTTGCATAGATGTGTCAGCGTTATCTGACCAGATGTTTTTGACGGTGACGTGTAATACTTTACCATTATTTTAGGTGCCGGCTTTTGAAAGTGCTGATGGAAAAGTGTTACTCACAGAAAGTAATGCTATCGCCTATTACGGTAAGTCTCAATAAATAATAAAAGGCTTTATATTAAAATCTAGTCTTGTGTGGATTAAGAATAATGAAATACGCAAATGTGTTTTTTTTTTAATACCGGTTATAATTTAAGTACCAGATCAACTTAAGAAAAAGGTAATATTCAAAGATAAAGAACCTTTATCTAAGTTTTAAATACTGTAATACATATTGTAGTATCATTTTTGTAAGTGTAAGATCGTAAATTACTTTTTTAATTAAATTTTAAATTAAGTTTTTTTTGTTACCCTGCAAATCTGTAAATGCTACTTACACATATCAATAAAAAAAATATTATTGGGAATTTTTGCTTTCTATACATCATGGAGTTTAATTTCCTAAGTCACATATTATGGTATCATTTATTCTATAATTCACATTGGATGTTTTGAAACTTCAATATCAAATTATGATTCAATTTCATTGGCATTATGTATGCTATGTTTTTATTTGAAGTATTAACATTTTAACACATAATTTATGTTAATAGTGGCAAATGCTGCTCTCCGTGGTGAAGATGTTGAAACACAGGCGCGAATTTGGCAGTGGGCTTCATGGGCTGACAGTGAACTCCTGCCAGCTTCCTGTGCCTGGGTCTTCCCCTACTTGGGTATTATGCAGTTCAACAAACAGGTATACTATAAAGTGCATTTGTTAATCACAACGGTTCATCCAAACATAGTCTTTAAATTGTTCAAATCCTAGATTACAGACATATTGATACATTCAAATTATAATAAAAAAGTAAATCTTCATAATTACTGAATATTGATGAGCCAAATTGAATCAAGGAAGAAGTGGAAAGCGCTCCTTCACTTGAAAGAGGTTTTTTAAATAAATAAAAAAGACCTACCCACATTTTATAATTTTTCATGTGACATTTTCATCTGTTTTTCTGCCCAACTACAATGATAATAATTTGCTCCTATACGCCAATAGAGTGCAATCTTGTTGTTTGCACGTGCATGCAGTTATTTTAAACGATAGAGAAAAATCACTAATGTATTTATCAACAAGCAGAACTCAGCGGTTGCTTATCGTTTTCGAAAAAATAAATAATGAAATAGTGTGACTTTTACTATAGAAATCCGCCATTTTTTTGTTGTCAATATGTCAATTCTGCTCGTATTTCTTGGTGGTCATAAAAAAATAACCTAACCACGAAGGTTAAAGCAGGAGCTCCGCTCCCGCCTGAACCTTCTAACCTAATCTATCAGTGTCGGTTCTATGACTCAATTCTACTACGGTGGCGTTATACGTAAGTACCATATTAGAAATGTAAGGAATTTCAAGTTGCTATTAAGTACAAATTTTATTCATATGCTTATTTCACAGAATGTGGATCGCGCGAAGAGTGATCTTCTAGCCGCTCTTCGGCTGCTAGACGAGCATCTACTCACGCGCACTTTCCTCGTCACCGAGCGTGTCACTCTTGCCGATATCGTCGTCTTCTCCACACTGCTGCATTCCTTCCAGGTACTTGTCCTACTAAGTGTATTCACTTCTTTAGTCTTGTCCCAAATAAAACTAGATACTGAAACATGTTTCAACCCTGAGAGGATCTTCAGCTTAAATCTCATCAATAAAATAAAATTTGTTTTTGTTTTTATATATGACATACAGAGCCGTGATAGCTCAGTGTCCGGGCGCTCGCCTTTAATTCAATATACTCGAGCAACCTGAGTTCGATCTCCGGTGCCTGCACCAATGAAGTTTTTAACTTTAAGTGCTGTCTTATCACGTGCTCCGCGGTGAAGGAAAACATCGTGAGGAAACCTGCATATTTTCGAAATAATAACAAAAAAATATTTCGAAGATATGTGAAGTCCGCCAATCCGCAGTGGGGCCGCGTGGTGGACTATGCCCTGATACCCTCTATATAGAGGAGGCATTTGCCCAGCAGTGGGACATGTATAGGCTGTTACTTTACTTTTTTTTTATGACATACACTTAACTCGGTGGCACCGTTACAAAGTTTTGGCTATGGCGTGGAGCTTGTGGGTTCAATTCCCACATAGTACAAATATGATAGAAGTGTTTGTCATTTTCATAAAAAAATATGACCATTATTAAATTAATAATGAAAATTATACAAACATTTCACAATGGTACGGTGATGTTGGAAAAAACATTTAAATCGAAGTTTTCACATGTCTCAAAAAAATGATTACAATGTATCTTTAAATGCACAATCACTAACTTTTAAGTGCATATAGTGCCAGTTTAAAGTAATGTTTTGATTAAGCTATATTTGTTAAATAAAGTTTAATTGCTAATTTTATGACATTTAATATTATATTTCAAATATGTCAGATAGACACCAATGGGCATGAAACTGAATATATTAAAATGTATAATGAATAATATTACAAGAAATATTATATAGTTTTTTTGCTAATGGTGGTAGGGCCACGCAGCAGCCTCCGCTGTTGCACGAATGGGCAGGACTGTCCGGGTAAGTACCACAACCTCACAGAAGACCAGCGTAAAGTGGAAGTATGACAAATACTTTCACGTTTTGTCTGGTGAGTGAGGTAGCCGGAGCCCAATTTTCAAAAGGTTGTCAACGCATCTGTAACCCTCGTGTGTGGATGATGTCCATAGGCGGCAGTATTCACTTAACATTAGGTGAACCTTCTGCTCGTTTGACAACTTTTCGCATAAAATAAATAAATAGTTTTACCGTTGTTTATTTACAGCATGTGCTGGAACCCAGCTTGCGGTCTTCGCTGGTGAACGTCACGCGTTGGTTCAACACCTTGTCCCAGCAGCCGCAAGTAGCCCCTGTTGTGGGTCCCCTGACACTCTGTTCCGCAGCTCCTGTTTATGACCCCAAGAAGTACCAAGAGCTTCAGGGCAAGAAGGTTCAACAATGTGCAATTGTTTTCATTAATTAGTTTAAAACTTCACTTTTTGATGTATGTAGCTGGTAATACACTATTACAGCATAGATTGTATTATAGTTAGAATTTATAATATACTTTCTATATTCCATTCTAACATATAAGATCTTTAGAAATTTAAGTTTTTTGTAGTGCTAATCTCTGCACTTAGCACTGCAGATTAAAGTTAAAGTTTAAAACTTGTAGTAACGGTGTCAGGCCGCGAATACCGAGGGTCCGATTCCCATAACGGCGACAATCTTTTCGTACTTCCTACAAGTTTTAACATAAGATCTTGAATCTAATTTAAACCTCATTGTGCTATGTATCAAGTGATTATCCGAGTAGTATATATACTTTGTTTGAAACTATCAAATGTTATAGGACAGTGGCAAGAAGGACAAGAAAGCTGAAAAGAAGGAGCAGCAGCCTAAGAAGAAAGAAGAAGCTCCCCCCGCCGAGCCTGCCGATGATCTTGAGGAGAAGCCAAAAGAGTCAAAGGACCCCTTTGACTCTCTTCCCAAAGGGTATTTAGATATTATTGTTAAGTGAATAAAGGTGAAATTTTTTTGAAGCTACATCGTCCGAGATACGCTACTGAGCTTGAGATTTAATCTACTTAGTTTTTTATTTTTAAAAAATGTTTGGCTTTATCTAATGTTTCTTATACCAAATTCCTAGCTTTTCTAGTGAAAACTTTTAGTCTGTTTTTCTATGAATTATTAAATTTCATTTTAAGTATTGAGAAAATTTCTATAAAAATTATTATAATGAACATTTACTATAATTACTAGTGGGTGTGGATTTGATATTCCCAATATGGGAATAATGTGTGATGAACCGTGTTTTTCTAGTGTCTGGGTGTTTATACAGTGTGTCTTTACAATCGCGACAATAAATGAACACACATATAGGGGATAACTTTAAAATTGTATTAAACATTTACATTCTTTAAACATCAATATTTACAGAGTTATTAAATTTTCCAAAACAAAGAATTTCAGAACATCCTTTTGTGTAAAACTGTAACGTAAAGTTCATTTGTAAAGTTCACAAAGCATATAAATAAACACTCATATTATATTGTGAACTGGTTTTATATCAGCAAATTTTTATACTATTGTTATAAATATACTAGTGTTATAAATTTATACCTATTTACCATATATGTATAGATATACATTTAAAAAAATTTAACTGGAGAATGTTTCTCAATTACCTATACTACTGTGTTTAGTTTGACGACTAGATAATGTTGCTTTGTTAGTATTACGTATGTATAAAAATTCTTATATTACTCATTACATTCCAGTACATTCAACATGGATGATTTCAAACGCTGTTATTCAAATGAGGATGAGTCAAAGTCCATCCCCTACTTCTGGGAGAAGTTCGACCCTGAAAACTACTCCATCTGGTATGCTGAGTACAAGTACCCCGAGGAATTGGCTAAAGTGTTCATGAGCTGTAATCTCATCACTGGTGAGTGAATATAAATATTTTGTTTCATACAAGACAAAATATGCCAGATATAATTCATGTTTAGCTATTTAATAATATCTGACAGTCAGGTAATTTTTTTTATCTTCATAGACCAACAGATTGATTATACTTCCTGGCTTAATTGCCAAGTGTTAGCGTGGGCACCGGGAGTTGTTGATTTGATTTCCACACAAGAACTATTTGTGTCCTCACAGATAATTATTCCAGATCGGAATGTGTCCACGAAAAATTTATGTATGTAAAACATCCTTACGAAAAAAGGATAATGTTATCTGACAGTGAGAGGCAATGTTATGAAGGGACTACAGTAGATCTAGTTTGCAGTGTTCTTTGGGACTTACTATCCTCTAACTCCTTACTCTTAACTCCTTCCGCACAAAATACAAACAGTCAGTTCATGTCTCTTTGTATTTTGTCTGTGTCACAAGTCGGTTCATGTCTGTCTGTCTAACACAAATGGCTTCATAGTATGATACGTTGTTCGTTCATAGGCATGTTCCAGCGGTTGGATAAGATGCGCAAGCAAGCGTTCGCATCAGTGTGCCTGTTTGGCACCGACAATGACTCCACCATCTCTGGTGTGTGGGTATGGCGGGGCCAGGAGCTCGCCTTCCCCCTATCGCCCGATTGGCAGGTAACGCCAATGATGTTTAATAACATGGTTGACGCATGTCCATACTGCACGGCGTTTAAAAAATTTTCCGCTTTACATTATTATACAGGGAGGCTTTTTAAGTGTATCAACTTTTTTTTAAATGAAATTCTAGACATCATCACTCATAATTAATTAAATACATTTATTTGAACTTATCTCAAAGCGCGTGATTTATGGGCAACTCATTTATTTTACGCGCGATCATTCATAACTAACACGCATACAAGTTCGTTTCAAAAGAATACGACGCATTTATGAATGACTACCGCATTGTCAACAAGTTCTGTTTTCTAAGGAACGGAATGGAAATTTTTTGAAAAAAAAAAGTTTCTTTTTCTTCATTAATCATCAATCAAAATCATTTATTCGAAGTAAGATTTTTTCAAACCGTTTTTCGACGTCTTACAATATGTCTTATAATATGTGTCTCTCATGCCGTGCTGGAGTATCGGAACACCAAGCCTCTTTGTCATTTAAATAATCATCTAACTTATAATAAGCTTTTTTAAACAGTGTCTGCTTTACAATAAATTTGAACTTTTTGTCCGGTAGATTTAAAATATCATCAGGAATTTTGTTGTAGTAGCGCACACAGAGCCCCACGAATGAAGTCCTAACCTTAGCTAGTCTACAGCGAGGAAGAACTAAATTATTCTTGTTTCTTGTATTACGGTCATGAATATCAGAATATTTACTAAAGTCATGGATATTCTTCCTAACATACATAATATTTGCAAAAATATATTGACATGGAACTGTGAAAATCTGTATCCTCTTAAATATTTTTTTAAGCGAGTCCCTACAGCGAAGTTGATAAATTGCTCTAACAGCTCTCTTCTGCAAAATGAAGATGGATTCAATATCAGCCGCTCGGCCCCATAGCAGGATACCATAAGACATAACGCTATGAAAGTAGCTAAAATAAACTAATCTGGCCGTTGCTTCGTCAGTTAACTGTCGAATCTTTCTAACTGCATATGCAGCCGAGCTAAGCCTTCCTGACAGAGAAGATATATGGGGACCCCATTGGAGTTTTGCATCAATAGTTATCCCTAAGAATACTGTACTGTCAACCAAATCAAGCCGTTCATTATTCAATACAATTCCTAAACCCTCATTACTTTTCACGTTTGGCAAAGTAAATTTAATACATTTAGTCTTTTTCTCGTCTTCAATAAACGATTATACTGCCGAGTCTGAACTTCATGTGTGAATTTGGACACCTTTAGAAAAGCCACCCTGTATGACATAATTATGTAAGAGAATGTGACAGATAATATAGATGGTATGATACGAAAAGAGACAGAAGTCTATAGTTGAGGGACCATAGATCTTTTTCGAACATTGTCTTAATATAAAAATATTTATTCGTAATAGAGAATGGCTGTTGCATTATAGCGAATGAATTAATGGGTTCACCACGAAACCAATATTATTATTATTAGTTTGGTTGTAAGCCAACCAATTTAAACTTATTTGTATGTTATAGAAAGTTTTTCGTTATAACGAACGACGTTATAAACAGTTTACACTGTATTGTACAAAAAGCTTTGGTCATTATACAAATACGTCGCAGCGAGAAATACATAATAAAAATGTTGCGCTTGTAAGATAATGTGTTATTTTATAAAAATAAACCAATATAATTGTCCGAGACAGATCGACTACGAGTCGTACGACTGGAAGAAGCTGGACCCCAAGAGTGAGGAGACGAAGAAGCTCGTCCAGGACTACTTCTCGTGGAGTGGCACCGACAAGCAAGGCCGCAAGTTCAACCAGGGCAAGATCTTCAAGTGAACACACACACGCCACTACACTAAACGGGGCTGTACATATGTACACAATAAATTATTCTTTTTGTATTCATTCACACCATTCCGATGTCATAATGTCAGCGTAAAGTTCTAAATGTTGCCAACTGTTGACTCGTCCACAGCGATTTTTCCATTTATTCCCTCCCCGAACGACACTTGTAAAGCCCCCGATTTAATAGTACCAGCACAGAGATGTGTCAACACTAAACATGTACCTCTTAATCGTGTAATACGAATATGTGTATGATAATGTGTCATTTCTATAATAATAATAAGAATGCGTATTAATTTATACTCTTGTAGCAATCTTTGTAACGTTTTGTAACATTGCGCTATTTATTCTGTGAATGGAATGCATTTATATCGGCCGTGAGCGACGCCGTCACTAAAAGTCAACGTTTGTACGAAAAAAATAAAATTGTTTTTTATTTAGACGCGTGTTTCTTTTATTCGCTTGTACAATTACTTTTTTTTTTATAAATGAGAAAAATACAATGAACAATGTCGAAAGTAAAAAATATACGGATATTTATAAAAACATCGATACATCGATATTTTCTCTAGGTTCCAATGTCCAAAAGAAAACAGGTACGATATGTCAAGTTTTAAATATTTGACATCGGCCCCTGTGCCGGATTGAAATATCGTTTTAGTTAAGATTTCGATGTTGAATATATTGTATTGATATAGCGGCTAAAAATATCGATATGAAAAATAGTACATCACGGAACGGCACAGAAAATGGAAATTATTTTAGCAAAAAACGTCATTGTGACGATGATATTTTGTTTACTCAAAGATGTGTCTTAAAATTAATGCCGTTTTACGGCAAACTTATTAGAAAGTTGAATAAAAAATGTGTACTTAGGGGAAAGTGGTCACCCTTCGTAAAATTTTTAATCTAGTGTTTGCACCTAAATGTAAGAAATATATTGTAGTAGCTTTAAAAAAGTCTGACACCATTAAATCAAAAAATTAAAAGGTTATCGCCATTTGTCTATGATAAGATATTTGTACGAATGCACCCCACGCGTGGGGTATCTTCGTACAGCGAGCGGAGTTCTTTCGTACAACATGGGGTAAATTCATACAGGCTGTCGATGTGCAGGTGTATCGTAAAAATTTTGTTCTTATAATTTTTCCTAACGCACCAAAAGAAGTATAACTTCAAAAATAGCGAATGCAGAATTAAAAACCTTTGTATTACATATATTATATGCGTCTAGATTCTTAGTGGTACGTTTAAGATGTATTTAGGTATAAAGTTAACAAGTTTTACAAGGTATAGAATTAACATTAATTTAACAATTTTGCCTCATAAATTAAAATTAAATATGGTGACTACTAAAGATAATGTAAGGACGATTATTTTCCATTCTTCTTATGAAATTCCTCGTGTTTAAGTCACCTAAATATATAATAATAAAAAAAAGGTAACCCGTGCAAATGTTTCACAAAGTACCAGAAGTAGTAATATAGGTAATTATTATTTATATAAATAAGTATCAATCAAACTTTCTTGCAACCAGCTACCGAACGCGCAGGTCACTGTTTCCTTTGTCGAAATTTAAATCTTTGGGCACGTTCACTAGGCTTGGGTTGAAGGTAGTTTTCTAGAACTTGCATTAACAAAAAATTACAAACGAAAGTTCCAAAAATGTTTCGATATGGGTTTTTCCGGAGTCCATAAACTCACTGCTAGCTCATAAACCTTTGCTTCCATGAGAGATTGTTGGCGCTGGCGACACAGTTTACCGGATATGACGTTATCTACTCGTGCTAAGGGTCACAGGGTCGGGTAGAGAGTGGTTACTTGGATTTCGGCTGCGTTCCCGGACGGTGATATAACCACTAGCGCTGCTGTCGTTATAATAGTTGTTAATATTCAAGTTCAGTAATACTTAAAATGTTAGGATCAAGGTAAAAACGTTAGAACTCTTATAAGATTTTGTTTCCAACAAACTATTGCTCAAGCCTCTTCACATACAGTCTCCAAATGTCAGTGTGCATTTTAAACTCCGCTATCTTCCCAACAGACATTGTTATTATCTAAATTTTTCTCGTCGCCAATGTGGTATAATTATTGTTATAAGTAGGTAAATGAAACAGGTATTTAATATACGACGTTTAATGAAACCAAAACAATTAGATTCCCTAGAGGCAAGGGAGCTGGTGGTTCACCTGATGTTGAGTGATAACCGCCACCTATTGAAATTTGCAACACTTCGTAGGGTTGCAGATGCGTTGCCACCTCTTAATAATGTGGACCTCAATCACCAAACAAAAGGCAGTAGCATAACACTTCCACATCAAGACGGTCTTCTGTAAGGTCGTGATACTTACCAGGGTGGAACTGCCAATTCTTGCGACAGCAAAAGCTGCCGCGTGGTCCTACCACACTTGCAAGTGGTATGTAGTTGATTATATTAACATTAAATATACGCAGATAGAGACGACTGAAGGATCTTTGTTCAGAAATACCGAGCCTTTCAAAAGGTCTGCAATAAAAATAAAATGCGTTGAATGGAAAGCAAAAATTTATATTTTTTTTATTTCAGACTTTTGCCTAAACTGTAGAAGTATTTTAACATTGGTACATACATCCTTAAATATTATTGCATTTCAAGAAGAACTAATTTTACAATAAGTAGCCAAAGAAAAGTCACCAGCGTAAAAGAGTAAATATGATAACTTCAAAATATTCCTCGAGCAGCTAATTAGAATTACAGAAATCTGTTACGAGTTTTTATTTTCTGGTAGAAGTTCTTACAAATAGAATCGCTGTCAATAAAACGTTTAACCTTTATCAGTATCTTTGTTACAATTAGCAAATGTACGAAGCATTACATTAAAAGAGTATAATTGAAAACATCAAGAGATAATAATATCTTAATAAAATGTATAAATGCATATAGTAGCACTCGGCGTCTGACGCCGGTGAGGCGATCGCGAAGTATAATCTTTTATTATTTATCTACTACATAAAAATCTTTAAGTGTCGTCAGCCATTTACAGTCGATATTTCAATTCGCAGGCGTTTCTTAAATCTACGAATATCCACACGCCATTTTTAAATTTTACAAGATTGGTAAGAAAATACGATTTGTTTCAGATAAATAGTGAATTCGATTCTAAATTAATCAAATATTGCTTTCATATTTTTTCGCACAACATTACAAGCCACGGGTGATTGAAAACAAATTAGTTGCTTTAGGTTATATAGTCATAGAGAATTAGTTTATGAAATTTACCTGACAAAAGGTCTGTCGATTGTTTCTAAGTTGTAATGTGTTGCTCTAGTAGCTACGTTTGCCATAAATATGACAGTAAAATTGGAAGTTTCAAAAAAATTTAAAGGTTTACAATGATACTCGTCTCTCGTTGACAACGATCGCCTTCAAAATCCACTAGTGGCAATCCGTAGTCGGTAGGAATGCAGATACAACAGTTGGCAGTCTGAGCAATTTACATACTAAATTAACAACAAAATCTCTTCACACACAGTGCATCCGCCGTTAGTTGTTCTTGCGACGCTACTTTGCGGCCGTGAAATAGTGTAGTTCTATATTAGACGTGCCTAAGGCTAGTGAGAAAGGCATATTCGCACAATTCCGACTCGTCAGCGATGCTATCACGCCGTCCACAGGGCCAGCGGGTGGAGAACTCATCACGGGCACTCAAAACAACACAACCATACTCGTAATCAAAACAACACTTCGAACATTTCAATAAACATCGAAAAATGCAAGGTCAACGGTGGCTAATAGGAGAGTTACAAACGACGCTATAAATATAATAATATATCTAACTAACAGGTAAATTTACATCTCAAAAATGATAACATCTCGCATTGAGTCAATAAATGTAATATAATATTATAAAACGGCAAGATGGCGGGCGGGCGCGTTGGCATCGCGCGGCGACGCTGGACGTCAGTGCTGTGCTGTCGTCTGCAGAACAAACACACAATACATTGGCGGTTTATATTAATATAGCCTCTGATAGAGGTAATTTTAGGGTTCGGTGCCTCAAGAGTAAAAAGAAAGCCTTATATTGCTGTCAAGAGACTTTTTCTGAGACTCGCGTGTAGTTGAAATTAATATCAAGAAGTAAATCGTCTGCAATTTCTTGGAGACATAAAAAATCAGACTTCTATCATAGTTAAATACAAGTCTGTACGGAAGGACCAACGGGTCAGCGACTCCAAATTACACTTGATCGATTTAACTTTTTTACGAACTACACGAATTTTTAGGTGACAAACGGGCAATCGGGTCACCTGAAAATAACTGCACGCGAGCGAGACTTATTAACAGTAAACGTTGTTATGTGTTGCTTGGCCATCATTGTTTTCGAATGGGACTGAAGATCGGATGCGGCAAGTTCACTAATACTTAACTGTAATCCTTTTCGTTAGAAAATCTTGATAACAATATAGCTAAATGGGTCTTGTCATTATCCCCTCTTAATGTCTATGATAAATTTTTACCGGGATGCTCCACATAGGGTGCCGATACAACAATACCATTTCTTATAAAGTGTTAGAGAATAAAGAACTCCTCACGTGGTCTGTGCGGTGGCGGCGTCGGGTAGGACGTGCCAATTGCACGCTCAGCTGCACCCGCGTGCCAGTCTCCTCGCATTCCATGGACCTGTCGTTAGAATGGAGAGAATAAAGGGTGAGCAAGATGAGTTCTTAATTACCTTCTAGCGCTGAAGTGCTTGGCTGTCCACAAGGGACCCACCTGTGGCGCGGTAGCAAAATGTTTATATCGATTGTTAAGGGCGCCCATTTTTTATCGGGGTCTAGATTGCTGGCTGTATTCATACATTCGCATCGCACATCGGCGATATTTTTGTCATTTTCCATCTTTACGTTTCTAAGACTAGAGCGGTCCTTGATCGAATAAACTTCAACTGCGGATTAGGAGGTCCTTAATCGAATAACTTTCCAACTCCGGCTCAGGAGAAGTGACAGTAAAGAACATATCTGTACCTGTCGGCGGTAGGCTCTTCGTCAGGCAAGAGCGGCAGTTCGTCGTCGCGGCGCGCGTGACACTCGCACCGGCAGTGCTCGGGCTCCACGTAGAGTACGCCCCCTTCTCCCTCACCCCCCTCCGCAGCCCCCACCTCTGCGGCCACCTCAGCGGCCGGCAGGGTCTGTATCCGCTTCGGCTGTTTGCGCCGCTCCGGCACCTCTTCAAAGTCTATCCACTCCGCTTTCTTCCGCGTCTCGCTCATTGCCAATATCTCTGTTCGGGAGATATTGCAAAAACGGAATTAAGATCTTTGTCTAACACAAAATGATTAATAAGTCGCATATGTTTGAGAAGCTTGTCCCGAATGTTTAATTACTCATTCAAGACTAATTGAAATAAGGCGTTTGACTCTATAGCAACTACATCACCACTTACTATTTAGTATACAATTCAACGACTAGCCAGTTCGTAATAACAATAATTCTGTACATGTAAGTTAACCCAATAACATATTTGTTCACAGTTTATATACTCTCCACCGCGAGAGAGATGCAAAAGAATTAACTAACCGGTTACAAAACTGATGCATATAATCTTAAATGAAATTACCGTCTCCACCGCTCCTAGTGCGCGGTCGCTCGGGGCGGGGGGGCGCTGAAACGGATGTAGTGCGCGTGCGACGGGGCAGCCGGATTCGCAGCTTGTCGGATGGCTGGGCACGCTCTGTGGGCGAGGCGACGCCCAGGGCCGAGGGGGGTGCGCGCGGCGGCGGGGGAGGCGGTGTCGGGTCGGCGGGTACAGCGCGCGGTGAGCGGGCTGAGCGGGGAGCGCGCGGTCGTTGTACTCCCGCCACGCGTATTCCACTCCGTTCCCTCACGGGCACCATGGGCAAAGCTAGCGAACGCTCCAACGGCAGCGTAGTCGGCACGTACGGCAGCTCCTCCTCGAATGACTCTTGCACTACCAAACCACGTCGTTCAACTTCGCTGCCGCCACGCGGTGGTGCTGCCTCGGAGCTCGCCTCCGAGCCCGACGAGTCCCGCGCTTCTAACGGCGAGACGGCATTAGAACGCATATCGTCTACTGGCTCCGGCTCCGGCGCCGCCGGTCGCTCGTAACTCAACGGAGACTCCATCGACGTAATGTGTGTATCGCGTAGACCAGAGCGGGTCTCGTCGCCCTCCACGAAGCTTGGAATGGATTCCGATATTTCGCTCGTGACACTCGGTGTTTTGGTGATGCTGAATTGCGTGCTGAACACTTGTTCTCTGCTTCCGACGTGGGTCGTGAAAATTATGCGCTCCTTTCTTTTTCTGTGCTCCTCTTCTAGGATGCGCGCGGCTGCGGACGGAGAGGAGCCGCTAGGTGGCTCGGTGCTTCCTGTTCGGACCTCATCAAGTTTCGTATCTGATTTTTCCTCACCGGATTTGTCTTTCGGTGGCGTGGCTGCTCGCTCGACCGCTGATGAACATCGGCTGGGCTCCGGAGTTGGTGGCAGATTGTAGCAGTCCACTACTTTCTCTGTCGGTGAGTGTAATGGTATTATAATGCTACCATCGGGTAATACAGTTCGCTTAGTGGGTTTTTGCACGGCGCTTGTCGAAGCGACAGAGACGGGTCGTTCTGGCGGTGGACGTTGTTGCGGGGCTGAGGCGGGTCGCACAGACTCCCGCACCGTTGAGACGGAGACAGCGATGGAGGGTTGCTCGCAGCTTTCGGGCTTGGAAGCTCCAGGACTCGTGACCTCATCAGGAGGAGTACGTAAAGGAATGTGTATGATGCCGTCTTTCGAATCCTCGTAATATTTGAGTTTTTCCGTGCGAGCCTGCTTCTCAATGTGCTGTTGTGGAAATTGTCGTTGCTGTTGTACGATTGGTGAGCCGTCCCTCGAGCTGGGTGACGGCGAAGTGCCACTCTTTCTTGGTGTTTTGAATAACGAGAGCACTGAGCCCCTTATTTTGGAAGCCGAAGTAGGCGTTGTGGATCGATCGCGACTTTTGCTACGCGATCTACCTTCGTTAAGACTTTTCTTGCGCCGCAGCACGTCACATGGCGAGTCCGGTGAAGCGATGGTTTCGCGAGATTTAAATAAGGAACAAAAAGAGGATTTCCTAGATACTGGGGCACCGATTGGTGACGGCGTTCGGCTATCACGCAGACGCCTCTGAGGCGCTGGACTAGTAGCAGTAGCGCGTTCATTTAGCTCTAAAGTGATTGGTTTGCGTGCCGGTTCTCCCCCCACCAGGGTCTTTTCGCTTTCATCATCATCGTCATCTTCGTATTCGTGATCGGGTTTCAACTTTATTCTTATAATGTCCTTGGAACGATTACTGCTTTTATACACTTCCGGCTGCGATGGTTCACGACGTTCCCTTGACCTAGCTCGCCTCTCCTCGGCTCGAGCGCGATTACGTGTTTCCTTCTGTCTTTTTTCCTCGTCCATAATAGTTTGTATCGGCTGGGATGAGCATGATGGTTGGGGAGAAGGGGCGGCACATGGCGTAACAGTGGAAGCAGCTGGAGAAACCAAACGAGGCACGTTAGTTGGCCGCGCGCTTTCTACGGTAACTTCGGTGCGCACCTCTCGATGGTCGCGAGCGTCCACAGCTTCAGGCACGGGTTCTTGAGCTGGTACCTCTGTTGCCGTCGAAAGATTCGTCAAGGTAGTGGGCGAAGTAATAGGAACGGAAACCGTCGCTGTCACCGCAACGGAAGTCAAAGCCAACGACGGCGGTGATATAAGCACCGGTAAGGGATCAGCCGTTAATTTTGCGATTTCAAGGAGGCGCTCTTCGACCACAGCAGCGCATATTTCCGGATCGGTTTCGATCGGTTTCGGACCGCAAAACGAGGTCTCCAATAACATTTTGTGCGGTGATGGGGAACGCGAGGTGCCCGACACCACGGAGAGGTGGGAAACTCGGCTGGTGTGGCTGAACGCCGATAGTGCCGAATGCGCAGAGCACTGTGAGCCTACGCTAGAGAGGCGACTAGTGCGCCCTGAGACGGCCAAAAGCGCTGCCTCGGAACTTTGGCTGTCTTTGCGCGAGTGGCGGCGCGATATCGAAGGGGCGGGTGCTCCGCGTGCCTCGCCCGGAGCTCCTTCCAAAAACGCTAGCTCTTCGGTGGATGAGCGCAGCTCCAGGGCACCGTCCTCACGAAAGCCCAGCTCGAGGCGCGCACGGCCCTCTTCCCCGCCACCAGAGAACAGGGCCAGCTCGGGAGAGCTGTCTCGAGAATCGTGGTGGCTTGAACTCGAGGCGCGTGAGATGTCAATCCGCGGCGCGGCTGGCGTCTGTAGCCCGCCCGTGCCACCTCCATGCACCGCCGGCGAGGAGTGAGAGCGGGCCCGCTGCTCGGGCGGTGCGAGAGCGTTGGCTGAACCCGAGGGCTCGCTCCCTGACGCAACGGCTGGGTCCTCGCGGATTTCCGGCAGCCGGAATGTCTGCTTAGTCTCGGGACTAGACTGCGGAAACGAGAGAGAACTGGTCACGATTGCGTTATGGGTCGAAAATGAAATTTGTAGGTCGAGTCTGGGGGAGGCACTAACCTCATCCGAAACGTCGTGGTCGAATGAGGCGATGGGCGCAGGGCCGCGCCGCGGCCGCCGCTCGGGCGCGCCGCTGGCCGCCATGCGCCGAGCTGCCGCCGCGCCGCTACTGCACCCTCATCGCCTCAACGCTGCGCTGCGACCGTCGCGACACGGGCACTGTTCACAGTCAAACGTGGATCTCGACACTGCACATTTGAACACATACGGATCGCGCGGACTGTAATATTGGAATGTCGAACACACACGACAACCAGCGCGAACCTGTTACATAAGTGGCAAACGGATTAACACGAATTCTTTTTTGACTTTGAGCGAATAAAACGTTCTAATAAACGACGGTGAGAGGGTTAGAGCAATGATTTTTTATGGAGTGCTGGCTAGCGGCCGCGGGTCGGCGCTGGCCGCGAGCCGCGAGTCCGCCATCGACGCGCCGCAGGGCGCCGGCGCGGGGGCCGCGCATGCGCCCAACCTCCCCTCGGTGCCATCCCTGAAGTGCACGGACTCCGTACTCCCTTAACCCACATGTTGCGATAGCAATCTGCACTCGGCCTTGACGCCCGATCCACCCTTCTGAACACGCTAAAAGAAGCCACCCGTTCTCCACGATGTACTGACACAAATATAGATAATAAATGGAATTACTCGCTTTATTGAATCACAAAATTTCTTATACGACCTACACAGGGCGCACTCGAGTATTTTAAAACATTTTATAAGAATGAAATATGCCACTCAGTAAGTAGATACGTTACGATGTTACGAAACGTAAAATGTGATATGATAAACGGTGAAATGTTTAATTTCTTAAAAGTGTTTCTATTCCATTACCGTTATGAACTAAAATAATTAATGTTATGATCGTTGGAAATCGGATATTTCGTGTGAAATAACGTTATTTACCAAGTTTTACTTTTAATTGCTGATGCAACTCTTTAGACAAAACTCATTGATAATTTACTGCCCTGTCTGTAAATGAAACTTGTGATATTTCGTTGTATGGTATCAGTCTATCAGTCTGTTCCACCGTCGAAGCGCACTTTAGTGTAGGACACCAATCGATAACTGAAGAAAGTTACCAATACCTATATGGCAAGGCCGATGCAATACAAGTTAATACACAGCCTTATTCAAACGTGACGTGCGCTGTGCAATGTATTCATAGAGTTTCATTCATTTCAACATTATTGAGTATTTTTAAAATTCATTATACGAAATAATTGGTAATAAGGTGATAGTTTCGTAAGATAATAATAAAAAGACCAAAAAAATTATCGAAAAAGTGTAAAAAAATAAATACTGGTAATTTAAAAACTTCCGTTCATATCATCTGCGTGAATAAATTTCTTGTTATTTATTACTACTGTTCATTACACTTAGGATCCAATAAAACCGTTTTTTTTTATCCGTTTTTGTTAGTGTTTATAAAGGAATGTTTCTTCGCGTGAAAGCAGAAAACATAGATACATTATATTTAAACTCATTACGTGATAGCTAAAGGAAATGATGATGATGACTCCGTTGCGCAGTCGCTAAATTATTGGCTTTAGCGTCAGTATTCGATTCCCACACGAGACAACTGTTTGTGTGATCCACAGATAATTGTTTCAGATCTGGGTGTTTGCCCATGTGAAAATTATGTACGTAAAACTTTCTTACAACACAGGATGCCATCCTGCTGAAGGGCAATGCAAAAGTGCTGATGCTATTCTTATAGAATTGTGATAAATTATCGAATGTTGCTTGGAAGGTAACAGGAAGCTGAAGCCACCGTTCGGTTTAGACATGATTTAAATAAATTTGTACTCATTGTCCTTTATTGGGGTCCATAAATGAAACAAACTTCGCCATCGGAATTCATTTTATTCACAACAAGACAGAGTCCCGGTGCGAGTAGGTAGGCGACGTTTGTCGTGTTGCGGAATATACTTCATGCATCTAATCGGACATCTGGAAAAGGTGCCGAAAACGTGACTTACACCGGGCAGCTTCCAACGTACATACAACAAACGATATATGGTTATTTATTAGCACTTACCACTATGTACTCACGTGAGTCCTTAATCTAGTAATATTTCTTATCGGGCGTGCAAATGACCTTTTGCAAAATGAATTGCCATTGTATCCGCGTACGAGATAGGTCGTAGTGGTTTTTATGAATTTATCGATCCGTGTTTAAGCGTGCAATAATGCAAGAGGTCATCTGACGCCAGCCTGAACATTATGAATAACAAACAGCACAACAGCGATAGAATTTACGTACGTTCAGAAATTAATTTATAGAATATGAAACATCTGGTATGTCTGTATAATTTATATAATTTTTGTATCCATAGCCCTGGAGGTTCATATGTTAATGGTAGACTAGAGCTTACGTATATAGGAGTTTGTGCTCAAATACTTTCGTTTATTTGAGAATATATATGATATATAGATATGGTTTCATTAATAAAGGCATGATTAATCTACGAATTATACACGATTATACAGAAGTGATATGATCTCACTATCAACACAAATGGCTATACATGATGTAGCGAAAAATAATCAGCGATAGTTTGATCATAAATAGAGAATTTGATTCTAGAGGTATGGAGGCTCAGTTTCCTCAAATCGTGATAGCCGAACAAGTTAGAAGCATTAAAATTTAGTATACTGTTCCCACATTATATTTGTCTTTGTAATTTAGGATTTGTATCTTTTTAATTTAAATCTGATTAATTTATAAGAAATAGATTGGAATCTATATCGTGGCGTATAAGGTGCCATCTGATGACATAACGTAGTCGTGTAATTGTAAACATATATATGTGAATAAGCAAGTACACCCGCAGCGATAACGTATATACATTTCTATAATATAGGTAATTCCAATATTCATTATATTCATTACTTCAGTTCAAATCTATTACATTTAAATATTCTAATATACTACGTATGAATTGTGTATATTTTCACATATTACATCGAGATAGTAAACAGCGTACCCCAGGAACAAAACAGGGAATGAGACATCCAGTTGTGATCTAAGTAGTAAAAATAACATATACTTAGTACATACAGAAGAAACACGTAAGTTCAATACGCTAAACTGGTACATATATATGGATTTAATTCTGCTAAGTACAGAGTTTTAAGTAAGTACACATTATAACACTAAGACTAGAGAGCGGTGGCGTTCGTCCTTGATGAATTAAAACAACCCTTAACACATCTACAGGATGTCTACCTTATATTTACAACAAATTAGGATAAATGAGATCGTCTTACGAGCTAATGGTCGACTCCACGTTCGACGCAACGAAGAAGCCTTCAACTATTTTTATTGCCATACACAATTTCTACGAGACTACGATTACATTAATGGGGAATGGGTATAAAAATATCGGCTACATTTATTGAACGTCCTCAGACAATATTTAAATAAAAACGTAAGTGGTAAGAGTACATATCAGGTTATTTACGCCCAAACAAGAGATGATAAATAGTTCAACATCTTGCTTAGCTGTTATAGACAAGTGTTGCGTTTTCGCCGCCTTATATTATATACATTTCGTATAGTAAATAGTTTATTTCCTAACGGGAAATTTTTTCCAATGAACCTTATAAACGTAATTATAATGTCAATATGATTGATTTCGGCGTCTTAGTGACATTTTTATATGATTTATACTTTTTATTAGGATTACACAATAAAATCTATACAACAGCAACAGTTTGATAATAATATTTTTTTATATTATTTATAATAAGCATAATCTGAAATTGTCTAATTGTACCGATTCTGTCGTATTTTAACGATGACCGTAGGCCGCCTTAGCAGGCAATATACTTGCCGTTTGAAATTGAATAAGTCCTTTCCATATTCCATTATCCCTCTGAGATTTGTTGAGTATTTTTTAGTTTAGAGATTCCTGCGCCTAGATGATCTTAATGTAAACATAGCGTTCTTGTGTAAAACACACTGTAATATTTAATGTTAGCGACAGTACACATTGAATGAGCTCATGAAATATCCTTGAGAATAGGTGAGATTATGTGAGCTCATTAAATCTCGCAAGGAAAAGTTGAGATTTTATCAGTAAGAGGTGTTTAGTCCGAGTCGGAGTCGGAAGAGGGTACGCGTTCCGGTGGGGCGGCGGGAGTGGGGGCGACGGGCGCGGGTGTTGCGGCGGCCAGGGCGTACGCCGGTGCCGATTGGCCAGTCGTCCGTTCGATGCCCACGCTGTAACATGGATTACAACGATTGGATTGATAATGAAGACCGACGTGAAGTGGAAGTGCTTTTGCGTTTTGTCTCGTTAGTGAGGCAGCCGCTGGCCCACTTAATTACAAGCTGTCAACGCAACTGCAACCGTACGGGTGTAGCAAAAGTCAACGGTCGGCGATTGTCACTTAAAACTAGGTGAACCGTCGGCTCTCTTGTCACCTTCACACATAAAAAAAACACTTCGATTGATAAGTGAAAGGCATTAATAATTTTTATATAGGGCCGCGCAACAGTCTTCGCTGTTGCACGAATCAGCAGATCCGTCCGGGTAAGTACCACGACTTCACAGAAGACCGGCGTTTAGTGGAAGATTTTGTGAAGTAAACTTAACATCGGGCGAACAGCCGGCTTCTCACAATAAAATCACATTTGGAACTAAACAAACCATATAATAACTGTATGCACTCACGTGTACTCGTGGCGCGCGAGATAGCGGACGTACTTCTCCGGCGGGTCGCCGTCGTGCTGCTGCAGCGAGACCGACCGCACGGTGGTATGGCTGACCTGGGTGGCCGGCATGGTGAACTCGACGAACGCGTGCCGCGCCAGCTCGCCGGGCACCTGGTCGTACGACGTCAGCGCCATGCGGCATACCAGGTTGTGCGTGGTGTACGCGCCTGCGGGCGCAACGTTAATGGATACAGCTATATAGAAACAGAATGAGCATGTGACACAGAATCAGCACATGAAACAGAATCAGCACATGATATAGAATAAGCACGTAAAATAGATGTTTTGTTGCATAATACGCTAGAAACAGCTAATGATCCTAGTCTATGTGTGTAATCTGCAAAGTGTGACATTTTAGCTCGCTCCATGCCGATCACTTTTTAATAATATCATCACAGTGAAAATGTCATTTTAGTGAAGACACCACAGCTGAATGGACGACTCCAATTTTGAATGTTGACACCTTTTTGACCAGAAACTTCTTGGTGCGAGAAATGAATTATTTAAGCTCGATGTGGTCGCTGCGCGTTTTAGCAGTAACTCAACAGACAGCTTGCTTATGCAAAAAAAAAATTGTGAATGAGGAGATGAGATGAGATGATGAGAGAGGGTTGGTGAGATTTTCTCAAAAGTTTACAAAACAGAAACTATGTTTAATAAACTTCTAACAGTCTAATAAAATAAGTATTTAAGTAAGTAAGTGTTTTTGGGATAGTTTTAAATCCTCCAAATGAAATTCGATTTTTTTTAAATATGAATCTTTAAATTTATTAAATTGAACTTACATTCAAAAATGCGGGCTTGCCTTTTCGATTGTAATTTTACTCGTAATTAATTGGATTTAAGTTTTAAGTTATAACATTAGGTGAGTTAATTTATTTCAATTAAAACCTACAACTTTTTAATTTTATTTTATTTTAGTTTATTTTACAGTTATATGCCACAGTATAAATATACTGTTGCCTTGATGTTCATATCTTCTTTCTGTCAAATAATATTTTCATGGGCTTTCGGGACACAAACCTTGTCCTTCCTTGGGAAGGCGCGGCATCCGCCAAACTATAGCGCGGTGCTGGTGCTCATATTTAGCCTGGCCCGACGTCACCTCGATCAAGGACTCTTGTAGAGTGTCCACAGCACCGAGGAAGCGTTCGATGCCCTTGATCTTGCCCGTACGCCTACAATTTACGGAAGCGCTTAGACTGTACATCTGTCTGTTTGTTGTGGTCGTGAAACATTGAAGAGAATATTCTCGCCATATAGTTGCAGCTCGTTAAAACAGTTTTAAGGTTGGATTGGTCATTGTTTGGTCCATGTCGCGAATAATAGCACAGAATCCCAGGCTTCAATTAGTTTCAATTCTCTCTTGCTAAGATAAATTTTCTCTGTTTGAAAAGGGAAGAAAATATACATATAAATAGGTCTTAGGCAAATTCTCTTGAATGGTACAGCTACCTACCTACTCACGAATGCTATGGTTGTTCGGCTGCCAATCATCATCATCGTCAGCCTGTTAAGAGTCCACTACTGAACATAGGCCTCCCCCACAGACTGCAACCAAGCACGATCCAGAGTGGACCTGCATCCATCGACGTCCCGCATATTTGGACACGTCGTCAATCCATCTAGGAGAGGTCATCCTACACTGCGATGGCCAGTAAATGGCTGCCACTTGAGAACCTTTCTTCCCCAACGGTAATCGGTAGCTGGACACCATCATTATACGATACCATCATTGGTACTAACCGATGCGCTGACTTGACAGAGCCGTAGCGGAAGTGCTTCTCCACGCGGAACAGGTAGATCCAGCACTCTGGTATGGGGAAGCGGATTGCCACGTCCTCACAAGGCACCTGCCCCAATTTTCGAGAAGCGAACCCAGGTACCAGCACGTCCGCCCGCAGCTCCACCTACGAGCAAACCGACACATCAACCAACTCTTCAACAAACTGTGCACACTCCTAAACCTTCCCTAATCTCCAATATTTATCATGATCTTGTCTTGAAACACAGATGAGACACCGATGTTCTAATCGGTTGGAAGGACATAAGCCCGTATGTAATCACTTTTTTACTGTAGATATTAAGAACCATATTATGAGACGATACTCCAGTAATAACATTTTAGTGATAAAGCAAACAAATTGACAAGCTCAAAGAAAGTCAAAATGGGCCACATAACAACATCAATCAACAACATCAGAGACATGTTTTCTTCTTAAAAGACCCTAAGTTATAGGATCCAATCATACTTTATCTTCTCATAATTGCTACCTTTCGTTAGTTCATCTTCTTTAAGAACATCTTGAGGTTTGTTGGTAAAACTTTGAAAAAGCAATCATGTACCTTGTTGCCGGCGACGCACCATGCAGCCTTCAGCTGGAGCGGCAGCTCACGGTTCTTGGGAGGACGCACTCGGAACCTCATCAGTTCGATGTAGCAAGCGTCCGGCGGCTTAAACCTGTTTCAATTACAGTAACCTTAAAGTGCAGATATATTATTACATTTGGTGACTTTGTGTTATATTTCGTGTGCGAGGATATTAGAACAGAATTTACAAGCACACTTATTTCGCGGCGCAAAATGTATTGTCTAAGAAGCTTTATTATGATAAACCAGTGATTATGATACACCAAACAGTGTATATAAAACTGGTATAGTTAATTACCAAATTTATAAAATTATTTTAACTGAATAGTTTAAAGTCTGTCCTTTTCATCTGGTTTATCTTGTGCAAAATGTTGACCGATAATGAGTTTTAATAGAGTTCCAGTCGTTGCGTTTACTGTCATAATTGCAGATACAAGAGTTATGAAAATATTAAATTGTACTTGAGTATCTGGGAACTGGCAAATTCGTCTGGCTGCACGCAGGCGTGAAATTCAGCGTTCTCCACTCGGATCCACTCCTCGGTGGCCACTGGGATGATGTCATGGCGGCCCACCACCTCGCGGCCTTGACGCCGCAGGTCGTTCAATCCAACCTCGACATCCGGCATGCCTGTCAATACACTTACTAATGAGTTGTTAGGGGCCACATAATCGTCGTCCTCCTGCCCTTATGCCATCTAGGTGGGATCGGCACAACATGTAATTCGTTGTAAGTGGTAGTTTTGTTTAGTAAGTTGGCTAGGTATTTACGATGCCTGCCTGACTATTGATTGAATTATCTGTGGGTCACACAAACACTTGTCCCCTTGTCCCGTGTGGGCATCGAACCCACGACCTCCGGCGATGAAGTCAATAGCTTAGGAACTTACTTAGCTTACGAACCGAGTCAAGGGCCACATTAAGAGGTAATTTGCGCTGTTGCCATTGATTCTTTGGTGTTCTGTAGTTTCTCCACCTTTTCATTTCATTTTGAAATGTCTTTATTCAAATAAACGCTGGCGCGTTCTTATGAAACGTTGAAATTTTACATAAACATTAGTACATAAGTTCGTAAGTACCAGTCAAGTTCAAGTTCCCCTAATGTTCTCAGTACGTACTCATTGTCAATAATATTATAAATGGAATAAAATTGGTCACAAAATAACACAGTTTTCGTATTCTTGTTTATCTTTAATCGATGTAAATTAACAATGCAAATGTGGGAAATTCTAAATATTTTATATTCTGTGCACCCACCGCTAAGGAATCCCAAGAAGAACAGCCGTACGCGCGCAATCTGCTTCAGCACAGACCCTTCAGCGTCCTGCTCCACGTAAAGCTCGTCCACCGCTGTCAGTTGCACCTAAATATGATGAAGAAAACGCCATGTCTAGATGGAGTATATTCTGATATATATAAAGAAAAATATTGTTTTCTTTTATTAACATATTTTCTTAAATTTAAATATATTCGCGCATCGGCTGCTAGTAAAATTTTTTTTAGAAACTATGGTTGACGCCGGATTATAACAGAAAAAAAATTAAGCTGTCATATGAAACAATTCATGAAAATAATTTTAGTACAAAAATACTTAATAAGTAAAATAGTGATTTAGGAATCGACATTTTGATTAATAACTTTACTTACAGGTAAAGTTTTAATACTAAAATCTTTTATTTTTAACTTTTAAGTGTTTTATAGTGCTAGTCTCTGCATTTAAGATTGAACATTAAAACATGTAGAAAAAGTACGAAAAGATTGTCGCCACTGTGGGAATCGAACCCACGTCTTCGGCATTCGCGGCCTGACGCTCTATCCGTTCGTTGTAAAACGATATTCGAAATTGTTTGTATGCTGTAAAGGATATAGCAATAGATGCGCCAAGCATTGCTTCAAACGATAAATAACAATGTAGAAAGAAGGCGTTAAGATTTTCGTCGCTGTGGCTATCAGCCGTTTAGCTCAGTGGCTAGAGCGTCAGGCCGCGAATGCCGAAGACGTGGGTTCGATTCCCACAGCGCACTGTGGTTCCATAGTAAGACAAAAATCACCCAAGGTCACTCTGCGATTCAATAAAAGTAGTGATCATTATAAAAACTACAAGTCTGTTCTTAATAATGGTATAAATTAAATGCACTTAGCTAATTACTTTCATTACCATTTCGTCATCGAAAATGTGAATAACAACAGTGATCCAAAACGTTACTAGGGACTCACGCAATTGTTACGTGATTTCGTTTGTCGATTCCCAGAAACCTGTTATATGTTTGATTTATTTTCAAAATGGATTTCGAAGGACATGGTATTTACATATTTTTTTTTATTTTATTTACAATTTTAATATTGTTTTTTTTTATGCAATTTGACTGCTACGTGATATACCTTTTTTATGTAAGCGTTTTAATTTTTATTTTATATTCCTCCATATTTCCGTAACAAACGTTTTTATATACGTTAGGTGAGACCCCATTCTTTATGATTTCACTTGAATTCGTTCTCCGTTTTTCCCCCTTTTAGAGCAATATGGGTGTTACGTGAAAATAATACCTTTGTAGCATTTTGCTACGCACACGAATTAACACTGAATGTCTTGGGTTTTGCATTTAATTACTAAAAATGTTGTTTTTATTGCAGGTTTAAGTCGGGAGTATACATTCCCATGGATGTGTGTCTTCGAAATTTGAAAGTTGAAAAAAAAGTTGAACATTACATAGCGGGCCGAGCTCGTATTTCAAGAGATACGCGAAGCGCTTTTTTTTCTGCATGTTTCTTATAGGCTTAATATAAAAAAAGTGGCAAGTTAGACAAGCTGATAAAGATAGCGTAGCGGAAAGGAAAAAAGCCATCCAATCCCAATTCAGGATAAAAATGGGTTTGGTAATAGACAAAACTAAACCAGGTGAAAGTGGGACTTCAAACGATGGTAATACGGCTAGAAAGTTCTTTGAGAATCCTGAAATTTCTGCTGAAATTACAGGAATTGATAAAACGTTGAGCCACAATATAGCAAATTATAAATTCTAGCTGCAAAGTAAACTCTATTAAGTTTGGGGAATTTGCAATGGAAACTGCCAGGCTAATTGTCCAAGCATATGCATGGTTTTACCTACCAGCTTCTGTCCACGAGGTATTAGTTCATGGGTCTGCTATCATAGAACATGCACTTTTACCAATTGGACAACTTTCTGAAGAAGCTGCAGAAGCGAGAAATAAAGCGAGAAACTTCCTAGTATGACGAAGTCTGAACATTTTAATGTTCAGACTTCGTCATACTAGGAACTTTTCTAGGACTATAACTAATAGGGACCTTTTAAACAGGCTTTTTTAAGCTCTGATCCATTCATATCATAACTTAGAAAATTGCCTAGAAAGAAAAAAACTGTTTTATCAAAAGGTGTTTTGAAACTCCTAAGTTTTTAAAATATTATTGTTACAAGTACAGTACAGCTGCATTTCTATTGTTTATTTTCAGGTTTTTTTATACCGTTGTGTGTTGTTTAATGTAAATTTATGCTTAAATAAGTTACATCTTTTAGAATAATTTTGAGTCGCGATTTAATTTTTGATTTGAATTTTTTATTGTAAATTTTTTTTAATGTAGTATATAAATTGATATATCGTTATTTATTATCATTTATAACAATAAACTTATTATATCTCTTATATAACCAGTTTCATTCATAAAATCGCAGAAATAAAGTATTTTATATTTATGGGCGGGGAACCACAGTGCAGCGGCGACAATCTTTTCGTACTTTTTCTACATGTTTTAATCTTTTATTTTTGTTATTTTTAATTATTTATGTAATAGTTTCAACGTTTTACAATAAATCTTTACCTACAGAGAAACTCAATTGTGTTTTGATCGCTGCGTCATTCAAATCACTGAAAAACTATTATCTTATACATATTTTTTGGTAAAAGTTACAAACTTACCGTTTTCAGCTTGTATTCAATGCTTACTAACTAACCTCTTCCATTTTGTAAGTGAGCGCTCGGTCGCGGTGCGCCGATATACGGAACAGTGCCTCCTCCACGCAGCATGAGAACTGCTTAACATCCTCGTAGCAAAGTGATCCCAGCTTGAACAGCTGTGACACCTGCACACACCGAGAATTACACCTTACGTAACGCTCGCAAGAGCGTAAATTATCACAACATTAATAAAACAGAGATCATTGTTTTCGTTACGGCTTATAAAGCAGACAGATAGGGTTAAAAATATAAAGTAATACGCTGCAGAATCCGTAGAACAGCTTTATCTAACAATGTTACACTTTCAATTTTGAGAAAGTGTAACATTGTTAGATAAAGCTGTTCTATGGAGTGAGTACTTGCAACCAAGAAGCTTAAAGTCTTTGAGTCATTATCATACCGGGTACCACCGTATCCTATAGCCCCACTAATCTTGCTGTTATATGGTCCCCGGGGCTTGCCAGAACAGGAACTTTGCAGTCGCTGCTAATCGTAGGTATATATGTAGAAATGGCCTGCTTATTAGTGCTAACGTTTATTAGTGTTAGTAGTAAATTGAATTTTACATATCCCAATAGCAATAAATTAACTCTTCCAAATATGAGTAAACCTAAAAAAATCATAAAGTTAGAACTTCTTAGAACAATTACTCATATGAAGTTGTAGTTGGCATGTTAAACATAAAGAGCACTAGAGCTATTTACCTCTCCTACTGTGGTGCTCTTATATCGATTGTATGACAATCTCGTATCTACGAAATTAATTATCATATTTAGTTAAATAATTTTAACGCTTTATCTCGTTTATTTTTAATTTGATTTCCCGACGTTTCGACGTTGGTTTCGAAAAATGGGCGCGAACAAACCTTCTGAACGCTGTAATAGCGTGAATACAATAAAATTATCACATCTCACATATGGGGCATTCCACGCGAAGCGGACAGGTTAAAAAAGTTAATGTTTCCGATTTTAGTTATATTTGATTATGTTATACCTATATGTGACCTCAATCCAGATACAAAATATTTTTACAGTATAAAATGCAGTTTACGATTTACAGAGCTTTAAAAATGTGACTAATCGGCAGGTATGCGCCACTTCGAATCCCATTATCCGGCATTGAAAAGAAATGTTTTTTTACAAAACCCGTCACCCGTCCCTTTGCCATGTAAGTAGCATGAAGATAAAATTACGCCTCTGTACACAAATCATTTTTGAAATAGAATTTTATAATACTAAATCTATTTTAAAAGTGTTGTTCCCAATTTAAATCAGTAATATAAATCTTTAGCATCAATATCTTCAAATCAAAACATATCTTTTTGGGGGACTAATGTTTTGATTTGAAAAATGATATTGATGCTAATTTTATCTTCAGATTTCGAAAGGTTTGTATAAATCGCACCGTGCATATCTGTCGTGATTTAAATTGTCCTATAGCATTAGATAATTTATTTCCTCCATAGATTTAAGCTTTGAACAACGATCTCTTATCCTTATCTGCAATAATACATTGATGTCAAATTTTAAAATGTTGAGTAAAAGTGAAGATAATAAAATAGATTTTTTTTTAATAAACATTAATCGAAACATAATAACGTAATTTTATTGTAATTTAAGTACATCTAAGTAAGATCAAATGATTTATTAAACTCAATTAGGTAAACAAAATATTCTGTTGGATGTTTTTGTAATCTCGCGTTAACTGGCAGAAGGCGCGATCCGGGGACCGGCGCTACCCTTCGACACTGTAAATGGCCTAGCTCCTAAACGACTTCTCGGCCCATTATGAAACTTGGCAAGGACTATCTATACACTATTAACTAGTTTTAGAAAAAAATAAAAAAATTAAAGTGGTCCAACTTTGTGAAATTCAAGTTTAAAAAGTTTGAACATTTTTTTTTTCCAAAAAAAAAAAAGTTTTTTTTAAATATCCAAAAATGGAATTAAAAAGCTCATTAAATTAAGCATACACTTGACTACTTCATTTATTTCCATTTATCTTTTCAATGCCGGATAATGGGATTCGAAGTGGCGCATACCTGCCGATTAGTCATATTTTTAAAGCTCTGTAAATCGTAAACTGCATTTTATACTGTAAAAATATTTTGTATCTGGATTGAGGTCACATATAGGTATAACATAATCAAATATAACTAAAATCGGAAACATCAACTTTTTTAACCTGTCCGCTTCGCGTGGAATGCCCCATATATTAAAATAAGAAAGTATTATAAATGAAAAATCAATATGAACCTGAGGCGCGTGTTCGACGGGCAGACCGAGTTTCCGCAGATCGCTGCCGAACTCTTTCACCCCCTGGTAGTCACCCTGCATGGCATAAGCCGCGAATTGTGACAGCTTGCTAGTGATGCGCTCAGCCTTTGTCACCTGTCCCGGCCTGTCACATAAATGTCACAGTCAACACCATAGTCAATTATCATTTAAGCATTAAAAGGGATGTATGAGTGCTGTTTGTTACTACTATAAAGTTACATATGATCGAGATAATTTTCATCGCTATCTCTTAAAAAGTTTAGTGAAAGACACCTTACAACATTTTTGGTAGAAAAATACAAAATGAACTCCAAATGTTGCACTCACTATTCGTTTTCTGTTTGATATTAAAGAGAAAAACAAACTGATGTTAACTTTAGAGTGGTTGTTAGACCGTTGCGTGGCCCGAACATGCAACAGTCTTCGCTGTTGCACAAATGGGCAGGTCCATCCGGGTAAGTACCACGACCTCACAGAAGACTGGCTTGAAATGGAAGTGTTATTCTGCATTTCGTTTGGTGAGTGTGATAGCCGGGGCCCACTTTATTAAAAAGTAGCAACGCATCTGCAACTCTACGGATGTTGCAAATGTCGATGGGCGGCGGTTATCACTTAGGATCAGGCGAATCGCCTGTTACCTTGCCACCTTCTCGTATAAAAATAAATATGTCTCGGGAATCCAAGATCCAATACCAATAAAACTAATATGGGACCACATAGGAGTTAAACCGAAGCCAATGCAAAAACAAGTTATAAAATCGGTACATAAATGACGGACTTCTAAGTTACATAAAAAAAAACGATGAAATGATTCCGTACTGTTATATATAAAAACGAAAAAGGAAAACATTTTTTCACTATTTTGTAGTATTTGTTCTTATAGCGGCAACAGATAACAATACATCGGCATTCAAAATTTCAACTGTGTAACTATCACGGTTCATGAGATACACCCTGGTGACAAACGGACAGACAGACAGAAAGCGGAGTCTTAGCAATAGAGACCCGTTTTACCCTTTGGGTACGGAAACCTAAAAACAACCGAATTCAGAACCTTCTCCTTTTTTGAAGTCAATTGAAAAAGAAATTACAATACCGGCGGAAAGGATTAATTAAAACCGTAGAAGCGTAGCAATATGAGTGTTAGTTCAATTTAAATCAAATACTCTATTACTAGTTGTTACATGCATGGAATTCGCAAAGCTATGGACTAATAACGAAATCGCGAGCAATGGAGGCACTGACCTGACACCAGGGCGCTCCTTGTAAAATACGTATTGGAGCTTGACGGTGAAGATCTTGCCGAACTGGTCGAATTGCTGGGCGCCTACGTCAGACACAGAGTAGCATGCTTGCAGAGGCAACTCCTGTAGCGGCTCCTTGTCAGTAGCGGAGTTTAGGAGTTGTACGGCGGGCGTGTCCCCCTGGTACACCAGGCGCACGAACATTTTCTTCCAGAACCTGTGCGCGGATCCCAAAGTTTGTTCGAGATAAATAAATGGCCAAAGTGAAAGTGGAAGTGAAAAAGTTTTTATTCAATTCAGTCTTTCATCAATCACTTATGAACTTAGAAAACTAGCACTGGTTGATGAGAGACCCGACGGTTTAACATTGATCCCTTGGGAGAGAGGCAAAGCCCTTGTTTGGGACGCCACTTGTGTAGACACTTTGGCTGCCTCTCATCTAAGGGGTACTTCGGTCAGGGCCGGGGCGGCATCGGAGGCAGCTGAAGTAAGTAAATGACGCAAACATGAGTCTTTATGTTTAGATTATGTATTTGTGCCATTTGCTGTTGAAACTTTAGGTCCGTGGGGTCCCCGCACATCAATTTTTTTTTTTTAAGTTTATGTCCTAGTCTTAACGCCGCGGCTGGTGACAAGAGAGCTGGTTCTTTTCTGGCTCAAAGATTAAGCATAACTTTTTAGCGAGGAAATGCAGCTAGCGTTCTTGGCACCATGCCGCGTGGATTAGGTTTATTAGATAATATGTTATTTTAGATAGATTTAATCTTGTAAATATTAGATCATGAATAAATAAAAAAAAGTACTGGTTTGCAAACTTAGAATTATCTAGAGCAAATCTTGCATGAAACTCTACCAAGCTAAATGGCTGATTGTCAATTTGCTTATTAAAATTAAAACATATTTCATCTATATTGATTTTTCGCATTTTTAATTAATTCTTGGCGCATCCATCTTTATATTACTACCTTTTCTACCGTGTATATATGTGTTCTTTTATTTTCGTTAAATTCAACCCATGCTTGAAATAAGCATCTATCAATAGCTTGTATCTTTAGATTTCAGTAAATTAGCGGAAAATCGGCGCTCGTAAACATTTTTTTAGATATTTTATACATAATTTTAAAATTTTAAAAGGTATACTTTACAAAATTCAGATGCTTACAATGAACTTCAATTTAACTTGCATTGATAAACTTCGTCGCTGTACTCTATCAATTTCAAATCCATTATTTACAAGCCTTATTACATTTTCGAATTTCAAAATTGCAACGAATGTCTATTATTTACCAGCCTCGTTAATTAAATGTGGGCTTATAAACGGATGACGGTCCACATTAATCCCTATCTTGAGATAATTATATCTCATAATTATGTAGAATTAACGGATATTATGTTTTATTGGAAAGAAGTACAATTATATTACAATTATTTAATTAACAGAACTGTGTCTACGAAGAAATATACTCCCATCAATTTATGTCGGCATCCGCTGTTTCCTATTTCAGCAGTCCCAACAATATAACAACGATCCCGACACTATGACGTATTATGTTTTTTTAATATGGTAAAAAAAAACCATAAGTTTTGACCATAGTAAATTTTTACGATGCGCCACGAAAAACCTACACCCTGAAGTTAGCTAAACATCTACGTATGTGCGTGAGAACTGACAACTGTATTTACGATATTTATTTTGTGATATTTAAATAAACTTTATTTAAATAGATAATGCGTTATAATAAAACTTTCAATGTATTAAATACCTTTTTTCTATTGTTAGTGTCGTTCTATCTACAAATATAAAATAAGGCGAAAGATAAAATTTTCGAAAAGATTTTTATCTTGTCACGCCGAAGAAGTATAACTTCTAACGCGTGTACATAATTACACATACACTTTTATTATATTACGACTGGTGAGCCGTCTAAGCATCCACCTCCTCACTACTCCGCAATCCGCAAGTGCAATGGATTTAAAATTCGTTAAAAAAGTTGCTAAACGCATTATTTAATCGAAACACGTCATTACATTCGCTTCTGCTGAGAACTCATGGGATACTTATATGAAAACTTATATTTTAAAATGATTTTTCGTTGAGCTATTGCAGCTATTCCATGTCTACAAGTTTAGCTTAGTCTAGTAAGTCAAGTTTTAAGAAACTTTCAGCGAACAATATAAAAATGGATACAGAATGTATGTTCAGTAATTGACCGTTGTCCAGTAATTTTCTTCTTGTTGGGTTGCCTCAAATGCATCTCCCAGCCCGGCCCGTTGTACTGAGTGCGCGGAAAGTCTTCTAGAGGCATCGACATATCCTCATCGAACAAAGGCGTGGGAGGCGTCTCACCGCCGCTGCCTGACCCATGATGCGGTTCTTCTACAAAATAAATTAAAATGTTAAAAATTACTAAAAATGATGATGAAACTTAAACAATATGAAAATTTTGAATACTAATAAGTTAGAGTAAAAAAACGAAAATCAAATGATTCCTACATATTACGGAGTGAGATTACGAACCGAATTGCGGCTCAATCCTTGGTTGGGGTTCGGCTTCGCTCTTATCGAAGGGATTGTAGCGCGGGGAATCGGGAAGAGCTTGTGGCCGCGGCGGCGGGGCAAGCACTGGTACTGCCGATTCTTGGGCCCCCGTGTCATCCTTGGGCCTGTTGTTAACAATACTTTGAATGACAATAATTAATTTAAAAACAAAACAATCACACATCCAATGATATTATCGCAACCGATCACATAATGTGATCCCGGTGAATACATCATGGGGTTATAAGTTGCTATGCGAATTTCCGTGACTTGAGAAAAATTAATTTTAAAGATATAAATCCATGTCGTTTGTGTGAACATTTGATATAGTACTAGTTAGATACCTCACTTACAATTGCAGCTGAATGATGTCGTTAAAAACACAGTCACACTACCTGATGAAGACCGAGAAAGTGTCGTCAGTACTGTCTCGCGATCCCTGATGCTCCAGACGTGGCGTGGCGGCCGGTGGTGGCGGCGGCGCTTCCATAGTCAAGAACGGATCAAACGCTTCAGCCTCAAATCCCCCAGGAGCTACGTCCGAGCTGCCGTCATCACCCCACGCGTCTGCCATTGAAGAAAATTCACGTCATCCGATATGTAAAATTTATAATAACAAAATAATATTTAAAATTGTACCTGTATTCATATGATTGGAGACTGTGGAATCAAATTTAGCGGAGAAAGCGTCAAACGCATCTTCTGAAGGTTTTATGGTGTCTTGTATCATTTCTGAATTATCCCACCCTAGATCTGAAGTTGGGGCGGCAACGCTTTTCTCCTCCACAAAAGTAATGTCTGTATCGAAAGCGTTCCGCGATTGACCTTCATTCTTTTCTATTGTTTCCCCAAATGCGTTAAACTGTGTTTCTTCCATAGTTTTTGTTGTAGTATCATCTAAAAAGGACTCATTTTGGCCTCCGCTAAATATATCTGTTTTTGACGATGTCATATACGTATCTTCCGGCTTCGACGCAAAGACATCCGTCGTATTGTCTTCAGCTTTTGAGGAGAAAATATCAACGGCATTGCCTTCAGGATTTGTGGAAAAAATGTCGGTTGTGTTATCGTCTGGCATCGAAAAGAAAAGGTTAGGCACATTTTCATCGGGCTTCGATGGGAAAATATCAGAAGCAATATTTCCAAAAGATGATATATCGCTTACTTCATTAGATTCAAATGGATTTTTTTCGGTTTCATTTATGTCCTGGAACTCTTCATCAGCGTGTTCAGTAAAAGGAGAATTATGAGACTGAATCGGTGTTATCTCCATCGGTTCCGAACAATCCATAGGAACACTTGTGTCATCCATTACATTGGTAAACAATGACATATTATTTTGCTCTCCGATGGTATCATTTCCAGAATCTTGAAAGATTGAAGGTGTTGTTTCGACCGGTTGAGAACTTGTTGTTGATGTAATGACATTAGACATTTGAGGTAGTATTTCTGGACTTTTATCAGACGATATAACCTCAGGGATATCGTCACTTAGAAAATCTATTTGCTTTTCTTCTTTCTTAGGGGCGGAGTACAAACTTAAAATATCCTCCTTCGTTGGTTTCGTCGTTACAGGAACAGGCGCATCAAAAAGGTTGATATCATCTGATGGTTCCATTTGGGTGGTTTCCGGGGTTGGCTGTTGTTTTGGTTGCTGTACTTGTGGTGGGGCTAGTGGCCGCGGTGGAGGAACACTTGGTGGTGCAGGCCGTGGAGGTCGTGCAGGGGGTGGCCTTGCTGGCTTCATTTTATTTACTTCTATGTTTTCTAATGGCACCGCTTCCTCAAGTAATTCTCCTGGCTCTGGGGTGAGGCTTGGTGAGTGAATATCTCGTGCTGATACAGGACTAGGCGTTCTAGTTGGTGGTATACGATCAAGCAGATGAGTACTAGTAAATTCCATTTGACCTGTTACGCTTAATATTAAATTTTGTGTTTCTGGGGGTAGAGGACGCGCAGGCGGCTCGAGTTCATTGTTATCAACTTGTACTGGACTAGGACAATCAACTATAGTTGAGATTAATTCTAGTTCAGTGGGTTTCATTAGCTTTTCCGTATCCACTGGTTGGCTCCCGAAAATATCCATAGATGTATCTTCAAATCCTTTAGCGCCTAATCCTGTGGTATTTTGTCCCCCAAAAATATCAATAGGGACCGTGTCTCCCGCGGGAGGCTCATAAGTATCTCCAAAATCTGAAAATGGGTTACTGGTTGCAAAAGGATTATCCCCGGCAAATGTTGAGGAATCAGTGTCTCCCATCATAAAAGGGTTGAGCACTTCTTCTGACGCTGGGGCGGCTGGTTCATTCATACTTAAGAACGGATTGTACGCCATTTTATTGAAAATAAATATATCAGACTAGTTTAGAAATTCAGACTCAAGCAATTTCAGTTCCGTTTTGCCCGGATTAAGAGCTGTGGCAAATGAAGTATCAAAGGGATCAAAGTCCTCCTGCGTTTGTGTTAAATCTGCTGGTTCAGGAGTTAATGCCTTTACTTGAAATATATCGTCAGATGCCTCTAATAGATCCTGATTATGTTCAGATGAAGCTTTAGAATCAGTAATGTCCAATTCTTTAGCTAAGAGTTTTAACTCTGTTTTGCTTGGTTTAATATCACTTGCAAAAGATGTATCGAACGGGTCTTCTTCAACTTTTTGAAGATTTTCTGGAAGTGGCTGCGGTCCTGCGGGTGTAAGTACTTTAGCTTGTAACTCAAAGTTACCGCTGTTAAGGATATCACTGGTTTTTAAATTTACCTTTGTATTAAGCGGTTGGGGATACTCAGAATGGCGTCTTTTCGTTTGGTACTTTATTGTACCACTTAAATCTTCGTCAGATCGAGTTCGTGTTAATCCCTCAGCGACTTTATCGATAGTTTCCCCACTCTCGTTTATTTCTTCAGTTATAGAAATTTCTCTAGTATAATATGGAGTTAAAGGTTTAGTTGATTTAGACTTGGAATCTAAATTACCGCTTTCCTCGTTTATATTAAAACCCACGCTCTTACTAACTGTAAGGTTTTCAGGGCGTGATGCTCTTCGCTCTGAATGTTTAGGCTCGTCAGCCCGTGGGTCAAAATCAGGATCACTTGGTACGCGATATATAGTAGATGCCGGTGTTGCACCAATCAATTCCTGTTCCAATAACTTTAGTTCAATTTTCCCCGGTGCTACTACTTTGTCAACAATTGTAGTGTCGAACGGATCTATATCACTGTCATTTGCGTCTAGCGGATTAAGAGGGGAATCCCCTAACTGTGTTAGATCTGTAGTGCTTCCTCCTAATAAATCACGAGTAATTTTGCTCTCTTCAGTATCATTAATGTCATCCGATGTTATAGATTCCCTAATTCCTAATGGGTTAATCAAATGGATTCTAACCGAAGATTTACGCCGATTATTAAGTTTTTCTCGAAACTCGTCTGCTCGCGGATCGAAATCTTCGTCGTCTTCAAGAATTGTTGGTTCTGGTTTAATTTGAACTGTAGCTGGTATAACGGCTTCCGCAAAACTAGTATCAAACGGATCGTCCTGGTCTATATACGGGTCTACGTCAATTTGGTCTTCAACTATGCCTTCTGCAAAAACAGATTCGTTCTTATCTGCTTCAAAGGCTGACCACGATTCCTGTATAACAGGTTCGAGTTTTATTTCTTTCTCTTCGATTTTAAGAATCTCAGGTTTTGTCTCAAGAGATTCGGTAGCTAGTAATGTGAATTCATCATCTTCTTCTTCACTTGGTGCCTGCTTTGTATTAGTATCACCAAGTTCAAATGTATCTTCTTGACTATCTTTTTTATTTTGTTGTATTAGTGATGTGTGTAATGATACACTAAGATCAATAGGCGTTGTTATTGGAATGTCAGTATCAGCATCTAAAATGCTTGTTTGAACTGTTTCACTTTCGTAAGTCTTTACAGTTGCTGGTATTTCTGCGTCAGAACTTTCTAATAACAGATCTCCTGGGATCACCCTTTTTGGCTTTTTTGTTGTAAGAGTTAAATTATCAATCCGCCCCGTAAGAACTTCGACGGCAACACCAATGTCTAAAGTTTTTTTTCCACCTTTTCCTTTACTCTCTTGGCCTTTAATTAATGCATCGACGTGAGACGTATCGAATAATCCATCGTCTTGGAATTCTTCAGGTGAGTCCGGAACGTATGCAAGTTTCACTTCCCCCCGTTCGACGGCGTCGACATAAGAAGTATCAAAGATGTCGTCTTGATCTTCACCCTCAGACTCGTCATCAGTCAGTCCATATTCACTTTTATCATCATCGATATCTGTTGCATTGGATTGAACAAGTTGGGGAAAATCTGCTTCAGTAACTTCAACAATCGGTCTTGACGGAGCTTCCTTTACTTCTGGCTCTGGTTCTTTAGGCTGAACTCGTTGAAAAAATGATGTAGATTTGATGCGATCTAAATCACCCTGTGTTTTCTTAAGCACAGAATCTACTCCAGTTGTCAAATCTTTGAATTTTGACCATTCTTCATTTTCTTTTGTAGAGCTTTCCCCACTTTCAGTTTGCTGCTGCTGGTGTTCTCGTCTATACTTTTCTAATTCTTCCTCTGTAAAAAGTTCTTCCTCCCCTTTACGCTTCGACTTTTTACCCTTTTTCTTCTTTTTAAGGCCTTTGGGTAATTTTAGCATTATATGAGCTTAAGTAATTGAGCCTGTGTTGCTGGAACAAGAACGAAATGGTTTTAATACATATTTAATTAATAATTTCAGTAAAATATCGTTGTTCTATGTAAATGAAATATAATTTTCTATTTTAAATGTCAGAGCCGAGAAGATTTCGAAATTAATTGTTGATATGTAATAGAGTCTCTATTGGGGTAATTATGATTAAAGTACTCATAACACTTTTCCCATTCTGAATATCTTTCCTAGAAACTCGTGAGGACATATTTAATTATTCCGATGTTGCGTGAAAAAACGTCTTGATAAGTAACTCCTATTCTAATTTCACTTGAGCGTGTAGCTCGATATACCACGATGGTCAAAAACATATATATTTTTATTTAGCTTGGTAAGCTAAATTAATGAATTATTTATCGTAAAAGATTAAAAGAATCGACTTCATTTAACTACTTAGAATAATAGCTAAGTCAATGAACAATTTTTCCCTGTAATTTCGACACTATTCAAATAATCGACCATTATGTCGTCTATAATATTTCGTATTAGAGAACTTGCTGCTGTGTAGCGTTACGTATACTTGTATAGACATTCAAGAGGTGCCAGTGTGACGTCGGTCGTATTGATCGATTGGCTCATCTTATTTTACGTCTTCTGTGGATGGTATGTATAGGCATGTAGATTGGTGTGAGAGACATGTACTGAACAATGGCGAGGACATCCAATGAGATACAGCTGAGGTCGGATGAGATGGAGCACATTCAGACACAAGAAGCTCCCACGGCGAGGCGTGATGATGGGGACGAATCGAAGGGCATGCTAGTGGCTCCGTTGACAATGGACGGGGCGAGGTTCTGGGGCAGCGGTGAGGCGGCTGCCGCGGGCACATCGAGCTACTGACACGTACCGGGCCGGCTGCAGCCGCTACCTACTTAGTGACCGCTAATTCATACGACTACCGCGCTACGGTAAGGCGTCTGTACCTTCATGGCAACACGCGGACAGTCGCGGACACGGCACTGGGCGAGCTGGGAACTGCGCTCCGAGGCGCTGGCTGCTCGGCACTGAGCTAAGGCGCCCCGGTATCGACCGCGAGCTTCCCCCTTCCCTCTCCGACCCCGCGCTCCCTGCGAGCGTGCGCGCGCCGCTCCCCTTCTATCTACATCAGTCGCTTCCCCCCCCCCCCCCGTTCGCGCCCCGTCAGCTCTCCTGCCCTCGTTACGTAATGACGCCGGTTCCTTTTCCTCCCCTATAATCGATTTACATCCCTCATAACCCATATAAGTACAAGTACAAAATATTCAACACTTGTCTAAGAGGAGTCTGAAATCCCAAGATCCCAAGCACAGGCACTCAGCTCTTGTTTAATTCTAGAAAGCAATTTTTGTCTTTTATGTTTTTAAATAACTTACTCCACGCTACAATTTATTTAATAACCAATATATTAAACGAATGCGCAAGATCCATCTGTACTTTAGATTTATGGTTTCTAAAAGATATAAACGGTTACATACATTAACTTTACAATGTCTTTGTCTCAGCGGCCTTCGAATACGTTGTTAATACGCTTGCTCGTCGTGTTATAACGCTACGTCATGCCGGATCGATCGGATGTTTCGGAAATAAACAGAGATGGGAGGAAATGAATTCGTTGTTAAAACGACATGATTTTTGGTTGTTTTAATATAAATAATAATATCAGCTAACTTAAAAGGCACTTGTTTAGCTTGTTTTATTCTGAATATCGTGTGTTTTAAGGTAGATAAATTTTTGTAAGCAGAGCTTCGTAACTAAGATGTCGGCTTCCTATTCAGTGTTCGCCTGCCTGGCTTTTATTTAATTGTACCATTAACTGCTTATTATACCTCCTTTCCATTATTCTCTTTCTGTGTAACCTTTTCGGCTTTTCTTGAATTTATCCTGTATCTCGGGCGGTATCACCAAAAAATGTAGATCTACCTCTAGTATACCCAGCCAAATTATAGCTTTGATCCGAAATTATTATATATATATATTTATACATATTTATGTATGTTTATTTACTTGATGAATAATATTTTATTCGTTCGACGCATAATATCCGTGCACCTACCTCACTTTCTATACACCACCCCAGGTTGACTGGTAGAAAATGCCATTAGCATTAAGTCCGCCTTTGTACTAGTGCGTGCATAAAGATAAAATAAATAAATAACTAAATAAATGTTTTGTTAAAATTTCGACGATAAAGAAAACGACTTGATTTCATTATCCTAACCAGGAAATAAAAAGCTAGCGTTATTAATTAGTAGAAGAACGGTACCATTGATCCTCCGCAACACGGCTTTTTTATTTTCATAGTCAAACTATTAATATGACTAGCGGTACACACGTCTTTCAAACTTTTTTTAATAACTTTGTTATTCTAAACCATTCTCGAATCCACCTGAAGACACACGAAAAAAATCATTAAAATCGGTCCAGCCGTTTAGGAGTTCAGCGACATACACACGTACAGTAGAATTATAGATATAAAGATAAAGTGGCATCCGAAACGTTTACTGTTTAAATTAGTTTAAGCATTTAACTAGTGTGAAACACTATATTTACACAGTAACTTGTCCAGTGTAAATGTAAAATGCAGTAACAGTACTTTACAACATTAAGTTTTTATTACTGAGAGTGCCAGTGCTTGACTTCCATCTTCATTGTTTTCTGACATCCATTCTCGGAAACAGTCCCGGTTTCGAATTTCTGATCAGTTTACCTTTCTCATTTTTGGCTTAATTCGATATTTGTCATATCTTGAGACTTACAAACTATATTCATTTTTATATTTATGTTAATGCTTTTAGTCGTAGACTATATAAAGTTTCATCGGACACAAAGCGTTTGGTCTTTTAAGTTAAAAGACACCAAGTAAATGTAGCTGTCTAGTCCGATAAAAGGTGAATGTCATTAGTTTATTTTATTAAAAACCCTAGTTAACCTCTACAGAGAACGTAATAAATGTATATATAGAGGGAAATGATTTGTATACTGAATGGGTATGAAAAAGTCGCCTATTAGCGACCCATTCAAGAACACTTAATGAGGCAGTACTATGTAGGTTTAACTTTTCAAACTGTACAAAGATAGTGATGAATAATACAAAACCTAGTTATTAGGTTTTATTAAGCAGAAAATATGTACATACGTAAGAACAATTGTGTCAGTAATAAGGAACATCCAAAAGAATAATTTTAAAAACAATGTTTACATTTATGGCGAATGGCCAGTATTCATTTACCCTATCGAGTAAAAGTAACAATCTTTTAAATATTCTGGCCGCTTAAGTAACATAATCTTTTAAATATTCTGGCCGCTTTTTAGTTCTAACCGGTCGCTCCATTGTCATTACTTCTCTACATTGTTCATTATCTTCTTCTCGTATATTTCCACTTGGCAGATCTATTTGATTATTATTTTGTTCAATTTCCATAGTATTTTCGATAAACTCCGACGAATCTAGAGGCGCTAGATGTCTGTTAGATACCGTCTCTTCCCTTCCATCAGGTAAACGGACATATGAAAAGTCAGGATTTGATTGTAATAGCTCTACCTCCTCGACTACAGGTGAATATTTTGAAGCTCGATTATGCTTTTTCATAAAGACTGGCCCTGGCACCATCAACCACGATGGTAATGTTGCACCGTTTTCAGATCTTCGATTATGCCTGAACATTCTTTCATGAGGTATTACATTAGTAGCTGTACAAAGTAATGATCTAATCGAATGCAATGACTGATCCAATACCCTCTCCCATTGGCTTATATCATATTTTTTGTTTTTAAAGCCAATTGCATTGTCTTCCACAACGTGCCATTAAATCGTTCCACCTGCCCATTTCCTTGCGGGTTATACGATGTTGTTCGACTTGTAGCTATACCTTTACTTTGTAAAAAGATTGTTAAATCATGGGACATAAATGATGATCCTCTATCAGAATGTATGTTTGAGGGTATGCCGAATATAGAAAATTAGTTTGTCAAACACTTAATAATACTCGATGTAGATGTGTCTTCACAGGGGTATGCGAACGGAAATCTTGAATATTCGTCTATAATAGTGAGTAGATACTGATTTTTTGAATTTGTGGGTAGGGGTCCTTTAAAATCTGTGTTTAATCTTTCAAATACACTTGTAGCTTTTATTAATATTCCACGGCTGTTGCAAAATTTAGGTTTTACTTCTGCATAGATTTTACAGCCACGTGTCATTTGTCGTATGTTATCAATGCTGTATGGTTAGTTTTTAGATCGCACCCAATGAAACATTCGAGTGACTCCAGGATGACAAAGCGATTCATGCTTCTTTTTCAATTGCAGAGTGTTTTCTTTCACACACCGTGAGTGATCTTGAAAAGAAAGCAACAGGTCTCCCTTCCTGTGAAAGTGTCGCTCCGATTGCGAAATTTGATGCATCTGTTTCGACAGTGAATGGGATTTTGCTCTCAATGGCATGAACTTAATTATTTCTTGTTTTAAACTTTCGAAAGCGTTTACTGCATCATTGTTCAATGGAAAATCATTGTTATTAATAATAATTCGAATCTTTTCGGAAAATTTCGGTATCCATTTAGAATAATGTGAAAACATTCCTACTGTCCTTCTTAACGAAGCAGCATCCGTTGGAATAGGCAAATTTTGTAGAGGTTTGATTCTTTCTAAATCTGGAGTGATCATTTTATTATTAATGTTATATCCAAGAATAGAAATACTTTTAATTGAAAATGTACATTTTTTCTCATTTATAGTAAGATTGTACTTTTTGACAGCAGACAAACTTCTCGAGATTATAGTCATGGTCTTCTTTATTCTTACCACATACGGTAACATCATCTATATAGGCGAACGTAGATTGTAGATTTTCCGTTCGTATTATCCAGTCTACAGTTCTCTGAAAGCTACTTACACCATTAGTAACTCCAAATGGGATTCTACAAAATTGACATAAATTTCCGACTGCTTCAAAAGCAGTTAATTGTTTTTCCGTATCAAGGATCGGAATTTGGTGATACGCGCTTTTTAAGTCAATCGGCGTCGGGACGTGACGACCCCATCGCCCGCTGGTGGGATAATCTTGTGACAGAGATTATTCCACCAGTGCAGTCAGTCAACCCAACTAGTGGTAGTGCCATGCTGCGCACCTTCGGGTAGCAGCCGAATTGGGCCGGCACGCCCGGGGAAGAAACCACTCTCTCACTAGAAACCGACGTCAAGTGGCAGCTATGCTGTCGCGTTTCGTTTGGTCTGTGAGAGTCCCGGACGCCCTCTCCCCATTCCTCCCCCATAATGTCTGCGCGAAATTTAAATTTTCTACCCCAGGAGGGTACCACCAGCATACAGCGCGGTGGAGAATCCCTCTCTGGACGTCCACGCGCAGGCCGTACAACGTCTGAGCGTGAATGCCCAGGCTGCCCTTCGTATTCTGGGGGGGGGGGGGGGGGCAATTTTGCGCTCTCTATACCTGTTCGGGGCAAACGGAGCAGGCAACATAAGGCCACCTCTTCCTCGCATGCCGTGGACTTTTGCAACATAAGGGGGCTAAATTCCAACTTAAACGCCGTCCACTTCCATCTTGAGACGGCGAAGCCGGCCTTGCTCTTCCTTACCGAGACGCAGATATCTTCTCCAGCTGACACCTCATTCCTCTCCTACCCGGGGTACAAACTGGAACATTCCTTTGTGCCGCGGGCTGGGGTGTGCGTGTACGTCAGAGAGGATATATGCTCTCGTCGCCTCGATGCTCTTGAAGGACGGGACCTATCCATACTCTGGCTACGCGTAGACTGCGACGACCATCCGCAAATCTACGCGTGTCTGTATAGGTCCCATAGCGGTAATGCCGAAACTGACCGACTCTTTGAGCACATACAAATGGCTACAGATTCCGTGTTGCAGCAGATCCCATCCGCGGAGATCGTAATTCTCGGCGACTTTAACGCTCATCACGCCGAGTGGCTTAGATCTCGTACCACCGACCACGCGGGAGATCTGCTCACGATTTCGCATTGACATATGATCTGACACAACTGGTTACCTCGCCAACGCGAATCCCAGATGTGGAGGATCATACACCTTCCCTGTTGGACCTTCTGTTGACCTCTCATCCGGACGGATACTTGGTTTCCGTCGATCCTCCCCTCGGCTCGTCGGACCACTGTCTTGTCCGGAGCACAGTGCCAATAACGCGCTTAACGCGGCCTCACTTTGCAGGCTGCCGCCGCGTAT